TTGTCCCTAGTCGAGCTGAACATGGGCGGTCAGATATTGAGAACCATATTGTTCATTTACGAGCTGTGCTCGAGTGCATGCGCACTGATAAACTATATGCTAATGCATCTAAGTGCATCTTTGGGGACGAATAAATTCCCTTTCTAGGGTGCTTCATTGGGAAGCGAGGCCTCCGAGCGGATCCCGCCAAGGTCAAAGCCATAGTCGATTGGCCTGTTCCACAGTCTCAGAAGGACTTTCGAAAAATGGCTTGGCCTTGCCAATTACTTACACAAGTACAGCGAGAATTACGCTGATATGGCTCGGCCGTTATCCAATCTCCTTAAAAAGGATGTGGAATGGTGTTGGCATGAACACGAAGATGCTATTCAAGCGGTGAAGGCGAGCCTTCTACATGCTCCTATTTTGGCTTTGCCAGACCCTGATCGACCGTTTCGTGTCGTCTGTGACGCATCGGATTTTGAATTGGTAGTGCTCTGTTACAAACAGATGATGAAGGCCGTGAGCGTGTAGTCGCTTTTGAGTCTCGACAGCTGAAAGCTGCAGAGAAGAACTATCCAGTTCATGACAAAGAGCTACTTGCGATGAAGTATGCCCTGGTCAAATTCAGAGTTCATCTGCTAAGCTCAAAGCCTTTTGTGATCTATACCGATCATGCGTCGTTACGCACTGCGACTCAGTCGCCGCATCTCTCGCAGAGAATGGCCAGATGGCTGTCATTCTTTGCCGAATATAATTTTGAGGTGAAATATAAGCCGGGTAAGCAAAATGCTTTGGCTGATGCGTTGTCACGAAGACCTGACTATGAGCTTGCTCATGTGACGACGTTGTCGTCTTCTATCATTGATCTCGTCCGATCGGAGTATGCTAAAGATGATCATTGTATAGCGCTGCTACATGCTCTTGGCAGTGATGAGTTTAAAAGACTTGGACATTAAATTGTCGGCACGATTACGTGCGAGCCTCCATCGATATTCTATCGATAAAGAGGCTGTTGTACTATCGTACAGATGTGGCGGATCCTCCGCGTATTGTGGTTCCTCACGACGAGGACCTGAAGTATCGTATCCTCTATGAGGTACATGACACCGCCATCGGGGGTCATTTGGGTCGTGAAAAGACCTATGGGGCAGTATGCCAAAGTTATTGGTGGCCCAAATTATATAAATGGGTGAGCACATATGTGCGTACGTGTGAAACGTGTCAACGGGTGAAAACTCACCCCATTCGGCAGCGCCGCTGGCTAGTTTGCCTATTCCCACTGGGTGCTGGGAGTCCATTAGTATGGACTTTGTATTTGGCCTACCGAAAGATTCGCATGGCAATACAGGTATTGTGGTCTTTGTTGACCGCTTGAGCAAGATGGCTCACTTAGCGGCTGTGCCAGATTCGATCGATGGTGTGGGTACAGCGGAGCTGTTTATCGATCGTGTGTTTCGCCAACATGGCTTGCCAGTGGCAATTGTTTCTGATCGTGATCCTCGTTTTACGAGTAAATTTTGGAAGTCCGTCTTTTAGGTGCTGGGCACCCGTTTGGACATGTCCAAAGCGGATCATCCGCAGACCGATGGTCAAACCGAACGCGTGAATCGCGTTGTGGAAGATATCCTACGCGCGTTTGTGCTGAAACACCTAAGCGATGGAGCGCTATGCTCCCTGTAGTTGAGCTTGCACTCAATAATTCCGTGCACGCCTCTACCGGCTACACTCCGTTCTATGTCAATGGTCTCACACACCCACGCGTTCCGTTAACGATGCCACCTAGTGGTTCAGGGCTTGGTGGGGGAGAGGTTGCCGATCGGCTTGCTGATGTCAGCAGAATACTGTTAAGAAACAGGTAAATGCGTTTCTCGCAACGCGACTAAATGTCTTACGACATGTGCAAGATGCAATGGCTGATAGTCAAGATAAACAAAAAGAATATGCAGATGCTAAAGACAGAAGTTGTATTAATGATTATGAGGTTGGAGACCAAGTATTACTAAACGCTAAAAATCTGCCTACCAATGTAGTATCTGCTGTCTTTTAAGACGAAGTTGCGTCCGCGCTTTATCGGACCCTTTACGGTCATTGCCAAGAAAGGCACAGCGTATACACTTAACTTGCCGCGCAGATTGCGTACACATCCTGTGTTCTATGTCGGCATGCTCAAACCATATCGGGATCCGTCCCAAGTAAACGTTGAGGCGCTCGCGCCGAGCTCATCGGCATTGTCGCGGGACGAAGCATCTGCGCCAACAGGTCAAGCTGACCCTGCATTCGGGTCCGACTCTCTTCCAGGGACTCAAGCCGGGAGTTCATCGTCTGCCTCTCCTCACGAAGGGTACGCACCTCCTGAACAAGCTCGGCATGAGCTTGTACCGATACACCGGCCTCCTCCGGCTTTTCTCGATGCGCAGGGGAACCTACAGTTCCATGTGGAGCGTCTACTGCAGAAGCGTCGCCGCCATGGTCAAAGACAGTATCTGGTAAAGTGGCGGGGTTATCCCGAATCGTGGAACTCATGGGAGTTTGAGACTCCCCTTCGGTAGGACTGCCCGTACGCGTGGACGTTTTTGAGCGTCGTGCTCAGGGTCAGCCTGTTGGCGCTGACGCTTCTCACCAGTAATGGTGGGCGTGGGCGGGTTAGCGGCCTCAGCCTGTCGTGGACTCGCGGCTACAGGTGTAGCTGAAACATTGGGGTAGACGCATAATGCGTTCGTTGGGATTTCAACTTTCCCCGGGCCTTCAATTTAGCGTAATCGTAACGCATTTTCCGTTCAAATCGAACATCTACCACATCGGCACTTGCCCGTAGGGCCCACATGCTGCTTAAACGTCGCGCATAATGCTCCCAGCGGCTAAAAGCCGTGTCTTTTTCGTCCTCGGTTTACCCCGCGAACAGAAGGATGGGAACATTCTTTATGGGAGGAACTGGCGCACCGCGCACTTGCCTGTTAAGGCGTGCCAAGTATTGGCTTTGTGTAGTAATGTTTGGTTTCAGATATTGTTGTCGGAGTGCCGTGCGCGTGGCAACATCCTCAGGCCCAATGGTCCAGCCAGAAAGGGAATGCCCAGATGCTTCCTATAGGCGTTCTTCCACCGTAGGTGGCTTGAACCTGTACTGTCGGTGGTCCTGAAGTCTCGCCATATTCTTCGTCCGGCGCTTGGCACCTTCCTTTTGGTCGATGGTCTGCTGTTGCTGCTCGTCGAGTGGGTTGGTAACCGTCACCGTTGATGATACGTCAGGCGGGTCACGTAACGCTGTTAGCGCATCTGCAGCACCACGGTCAGGGAACGGATTCGGTGCATGAATAGTGTCATCTTCACTCGTGAGGGTGGCTAAAGGGGACCCATCGGGTCCCACAAAGACGGTGTCACCTACGCAATCAACCGCTTCGTCAAAATTGTCTTCAATGAGGTCCCGAAGTCTGTGACTCACTGCCAGGAGGCGTCATGTTATGTGCCGTGAACAAACCATGAGGTTTTAAACGTTCGCTAAAGCACTACCTCTACAAGGAAAGATGTCGAGTGACATTGTATGGGAACGTCAGTCTGGTGGGGGAGGGTGTAACGGGGTTACACGACGGTTGTAGCGTCTTTCCGAGAGTTTACGGTTGAACTCCTCTTTGTGTTGCATATAATGCATTATTATACTTCTCTTTAGAGAGGTATTAATTATGAGCGTTAAAGATACGGTATTCGGTAATACCGTATCTTATCGATTGGGATTCGATAAATCACTAACGCTGTATTAAGTACATCATACACAGATGTTTAGACGATACGTCGTCCAATAGCAAAGTCTGCATATAATAATTACTCTTATAATAATTAATCTAGTGTAGGGTACTTAGAGTAGAACTATTCATAAAATCTTAATGCATAAATAAAATCAGTTCTCCTTTTGGGTTTAAGATCACAAGTCGTTCTGACTTTTTCTCTTGTGCACTTCGTGCGTTGGTTCTCTGAACCCCTAAGCTTCTAGCTTGTTCTTGCACTCTGTGCGGTGGTTCTCTGAACTTTAAGCTTATTGCTTGCTGACTAAAAGTCTCTCCTACTTCCTTGAAACAGGGTGACTTTAAGTCGTTTAATTAGTTCCTTAGAACTAAGTGGCTTTTAGCCTTAACTCTATATAGTTCTCTAGAACTAAGAGGCTTCCAGCCGAAAGTCTTCCTCTGGCTAAAGAGCTGTGCAGCTCCGCTACATTTTGCCTTCCACCAGTCAGCGCGAAAGCTGTGATCTCAGCATGCTGACATTGGAACGTGTGGTAACCGGGTACAGAAAATAAATAGAGCTTTGTGGTGGGGATACCATCTCTAATGCAGATCGAGACATACTGCATGAGTTGTTGAGCACCCTAGTCACGCACAATTTGTAGCATTGCAAACGAAACACGGGTACCTGGACTCTGCAATGTGGTGCGACGCAAAGATCAACTGCATATCTTCACATATTTGTAAAGCTTTGTGTTCGTAAGAACACTTTGTCATGGTCTACACTACGTTACAAATTGCGCCTTTGTCTTGCAAAGTTTCTACTCTATAGGTCGTGTCCCATCTTCGCGTCTACACCGATAATGCCGAGTGGCAACTCTCACAATCATTAAACCTTGTACACCGCCAGAGCCTTGCAATCACGTTTGCCTCGACTAGCTCGATCCGTCAGGTTTACCAACTCACATTCCACCGGCTATAAAGAATGCTACCTTTTGCAGTTTACAATGTCAGTCGTTGCGACATGTCAGTCCAATCGCATTGAATGTACAGCGCACTTCCTCGACCATTCCAGTGCATGTTTTTTGACTTATCAAGGCAAGAGCTGTAACGATAGCTCAACTACTTCTCTGTGCTGTCAAATGAAAAGTAGTATTAAGAGTTAATCTACTACTAAAGTGAATGTATAAACCCTTCATAAACTGATCACACAATCCAGATCATTCGAAGAACACTGTCCGTGCAAGTTGCCCTTTTCACGACACACACATCACTGTCGTAATTCGTGATCCTCTACACTTCCCTTCAACTTGCACTCTCGCGAATTCCAGTTTCATCGCGTAGTCTCATCAATTGCGGAGCACCAAGTGGCTTCGTCAGGTAATCCGCAAGTTGCATAGCTGACGGAACATGTTTGAGCTGGATATCACCTTGCTCAATGTGGTCTCGAACAAAATGCATCCTAAGGTCAATGGGCTTAGCTCTTGGAGTATATCCCTGATTCGTCGCAATACTTATAGCCGACTTGTTGTCCATGTGCACTGTAGTCGCAGTCTTACATGTGACACCCATCTCTTTCAGCAAATAACGAATCCACATAACTTCTTGCGTATCTAGTGCCAGTGCCATATATTCCGCTTCCGCAGAGGATAAAGCCACCGAACTTTGGCGTTTGCTTTTGTATACGAAGCTGCACCTCCGAGTAAATCAACACTCCAGACGTAGATCGACGAGTTTTCTTATCATTTCCCCACTTCGCGAGTATGCCCAAAGCATCATCTTTTTGCCGTCTGATTCCTTATACTTAATTCCGTGCTATTTTGTTCCCATGAGATAGTGTAAAACGCGTAAAGCCGCTCGCCAGTGCATCTGTCGTGGTTGGTCCAAGTACTGCGATAATACTGACATCGCGAAAGCTTATGTCCGGTCGCGTTGCATTCGCAATATACAGCAGAGAGACGACCAATCTGCGATACGAAGTAATGTTTTAAACCACTGGGTGTGTTTCATCCGGAGTTAGGTCCTGTCCTGCGCAGACAGGGTTGCGAAGTGCATAAGCTTCGTTTTGCTCAAACTTCGAGACCAACTTCATAATAAATAGGGACTGTTTCAACACCAACTCCCCCTTTTCTTGTGAATAGTTAACTTCCATGCCCAAAATAAACCGCGCAGCTTCAAGTGACTTGACAGTAAAATGTTCTGACAATTCCTTATAAATCGTGTCCGCCTCTGCATCTGACTTGCATCCAATAAGGAGGTCGTCCACATACAAGACTATGTATGTGGGTGACTTATTGCTTGCATTATTGCGTCGAACAAAAGACATGGTTCTGCTCGACATTGTTCGAAGCCCATGGCCGAAAACACAGAGCATATTTTCTTGTGCCAAACCGCAGCCGCTTGTTTCAACCCATATAAACTGCGTCGTAGTTTGCACACCATTCCAGGTGCAATTTCAATTCCATATGGTGCCTCCATGTAAACGTCTTCTTCCAAATCACCATTCAAAAACGCCGTTTCCACGTCAAATTGCCGAATTACATATTGCATACTGCAACAAACAGTCAAAAATACACGAATCGTGTTTGAGCATGCCACCGGTGAATTTGTATCAAAGCAATCAAACCATGCGTTTGCAGATATCCGAGGGCAACCAAGCGTGCTTTGTAACGAACAATTTTACCGTTTTCATCGTACTTGTACCCAAATACCCACTTGTGACCAATGACCTTGACACCTGGAGGACGATAGACAGCATCCCATGTGTGGTTCTTAAGATGAGCATTAATTTCTACTTGAATTGCTGCCTTTCATTTTTCTGCGTCCATCGACTGTAATGCCTCTCGTAAATTCATTGGTACATCAGTAGCAGAAAGCGATATTTCGTAGTCGTCAACACATTGACATTTAGGGTCCGGCTCATCATGTTCGCCATCGACAGGTGATCCATCAGATAAAAGCGGTATATCAATCCTCTTATCGTCAAAATCATCATTCGTGAGTAGACGAGATGACGTGAATGTACTACAAGGTCTTTTGTTCGACCCTGAGTATATCCCCATTCGATCATCTGGGGCACGGGAATTATCACAAACTATAATAGCTCGCGACTGATCAGGTATTCCTGAGAGCATGTGTGTACCATTATTGCTACTTCCAGCGACCGATTCGTGTGAAGTACGACTTATCATCGAATTGTTTGTGTCAATGACTTGTATGTCTGTGCGCTCCCCCTCAATCGGAACAACATCTAAGTTATGCGACTGATTGAGATCTCCAGACGCATCCACAACCATGTCTTCCCAACTAGTATCATTGTCAGCAGTTTCATCAACGTCCATTTCGTCATCCTCGTTATTCTTGTTCAAATCAGGTACTTCCACCTTTACTTCGTCTAAATCATCATGATAATGATTGCATTGAGCTAAAGGTTCACCTAAAACAACAACATCTTTGTACCGCGAAGGAGGACTCTCATTTAGCGTAAGGAACCTAGTCGTAACCAATTGTCCTTTCGCAATATCCCACACTCGGTACGCGTTTGAATTTTCCGAATACCTGAGAAAAATACACTTGTAGGCCTTGCTGTTCCATTTAGTGCGCTTGCAATCCGCGACTCGTAGATACCCAGTCGACCAAAAGACACGAAAATGACTTAGGTCTGGCTTCGACCCTTACAGAGTTTCAAATGGACTAGCGTTGGGTCGCGCGGTATTCGAAATTCGATTGATGGTGTAAGCAGCCGCCATGATCGCCTCACCCCACCAAGAAAGATCAACTTCCATGTGATGTATCATTGATCGGGCCATCTCGACAAGAGTTCGATTCATCCTTTATGCTAAGCCGTTTTGTTGAGGATTGTACGGCACGCTCGTCTAGTGGATAATCCCTAGATCTGCACAGTACTTGTTGAAGCGATGATTCGTATAATCTCCACCATTGTCACAACGGATGCATTTAATTTTGCAATCCGTTTGCTTCTCCACCATAGCACGAAATTCCTGAAATCGTTCAAAAACTTGGGACTTTGCTGCTAGCAAGTATACGTAGACAAAACGACTGTAGTCGTCGATAAATGTGAGTACATATAGAGCCCCACCTTTCGACTTCGGGCTCATAGGTCCCATTAGATTGGTGTGTACAACCTCTTGTGGTCGACTTGTTTTAACTTCACTTCCTGAAGTATGACTGAACGGGCTGTTTGTCATTTTTCCGCGTGCACATCCATCACATACACCGCCATCAGATGCGACAACTCTTGAAATACCATCGCAAGACTACATCGCTTGCATAATTTTTTTCGTAGACACATGACCGAGGCGAGCGTGCCACAGTCCACTAGTGTCATTTATCGCACCACTGCTCTCAGCCTTGTGTGCCTCTAACGTGATATGTTGTTTTACATTCCACACAACCAGCTTTCCCACTCGTTAATTACTGCTACAGTCACGTCGTCACTTATCAAAACTGCTTGATCGCGCTTGAACTGAACAAGCACGCCTCGGGCCGTCAACGCTGCTACAGACACAAGTTTCTTGTCTAGCCCAGGCACATGTAACACCTCCGTAAGTTTGACTGTACGACAATTCTCGAGTATAAATCGAACTGCGCCTGTTCCTTGCGCCTTCAACTGATGTCCATTTGCCACAGTGATGTAAATTGGGGTACTTAAATCTTCGTATTCCACAAATTTACGCTTGTCATCAGTCATATGACGACTTGCCCCACTATCCAGCAACCAAGTTGAATTCGAAATTGGTTCGTCACGGAATGCCGAAAAACGAATTCATCACCAGGTCTCGATGGTTTCACGTTACGACACTGGGATCTCTTGTGTCCATGCCGGCCACACGCAAAGCATTTGCCTTGAAAACTCGCATTATCTTTTCCTTTTCTCAAAATTGGTAGCGATCTCGATTTTCTTCTTGTCCACGATGTCCTCGGTTACTTTAAAAGCGTCGAGGTTCATTACGTTGAGCGTGTGCCGTAAAAGCGGTTTCCTTTTTGTCTCGATTCTGAATAGTGTCATACTCCCGGCGGAGCATCTTTTTTGCGTCTAACAGCGTCACGTTGCTGTGCGCCTCAATAGTGCGCACCATATCATCGTATTCGGATGATAAACTTCCCAAAAGCAAAACTAGCTTTTCATCATCATCCATGCTGTCACCGTTAGCTCTGAGCTTGAGACACAGCTCATCAAATTTTAGTAGATGGTCCATAAGACTCGTACCAGTCTCCATCACAAATTCATGTAATTCTTTCCGAAGTTGCACTCGTTTGTGAAGATTTGTCTTCGCAAAAAGTCTTCAGAACCTCCCAAGCCTCAAAAAAGCAGACTCACATTCCCGAACCATGCACTGATAGCTTGGAGGGAGTAGCTTCACCAGTACAGCCAGAGCCTTCATATCGGCGACTTCCATCCGGGATTCTCCCGCAGCACTGCCCACTCTGGCTTAATCAAAACGTGATCCAAAAGATCCTTGAGCGCAAGTGTCATGCGTGCATTAAATTCCCACATGGAGTAATTGTCATCCGTGAGGATGTCATCAGGAGACAACCTATTTGGGCTCATAACCTGTAACGAGGTAGCTCAACTACTTCTCTGTGCTGCCAAATGAAAAGTATTATTAAGAGTTAATCTACTACTAAAGTGAATGTATAAACCCTTCATAAACTGATCACACAATCCAGATCATTCGAAGAACACTGTCCGTGCAAGTTGCCCTTTTCACGACACACACATCACTGTCGTAATTCGTGATCCTCTACAAGAGCGAAATGATCGGCAGTGCTACATTGAGGACTATCGCTGTGCATTACATTCTCTTCACGCGTGTAACGGGGTATGCTTAACTTGATAAGTTGATCTAGACATGCACAAGAAAAACACCGCGCAGTCAAAATGTTCATGATGGCAACTTTGAAGTCCGAATGGCCACGGCAGTGCAAATGTATATTACTCCTCCGGCACGAGTCGTGAATATGCTAGCTCTATAATGCTGCAGCTTCTGGAATGCCAGTCTGTCGTCATTAATTTGTTAGCGAAGGCGATAAAGCTCATTTGGAACCGGTGTCAGTGGCAACAAGTAACGTAGTGATTTAGTAGAGTACAGTGCATCAGCAATGACTTTGAAACTGACGTCGTGCTGATCTCGTTCGCGGAGATTCTGAATTAAAAATGAATGACTACTCACTACTGTATGGTGAGGCGACAATCAAACGCGTCCGTAAATTTTTTTCATAGTACAAACTACATCACAAGTTCTCAAGCGTTTGGCTTATCAGTTTCAATAGATCGATTACGTGATGCAGTACAAACTTCGACGAAGATGAGATAGCGCCTAGCTTGATGTAAGTGAACGAAATGAGAAGATGCAGTTATTTGCTTCTGGTAAAGTTTTGAAGGTGCTCCATATCGTGAATGCTTGTTGAATGGGATGTTAATGCGCAGCAATCAAGTTGGTGGATACTATATTTTCATACACTTGTACTCTTGTCACAATCATCTTCATTTGTAAGGGGGTGATCTTTCTTTCAAACTTTTGGTCTGAGTGCATTAAAGTTGCCGTTGGTTGAGAGCGTAGTGGTTTTGCCCCTAGGTACTTAATGTACAACCTGAACGATGTTGACATCTCTGGCCTTAGGTTCACCCAAAAATTTAATCTCCACACACTGAGTAGAACAGCTACCAGACTTTGTGAATGTATCCAAAGAGTCTACAAGTAATTGATGACGTAGGTTTCTTAGCTTTAAAGCGACTTGCTGGTTTGTCAAGTTCTATGTCTTCAGTCTAATCCCATACCGTGTAAAAGCACTTATTACATCAGCATGGATATTGGTCAGGGACTTAACTACGCTGGTGTAAGTGTTAAATCATACGTGTCAGAGCAGTACTAGCTATTTTTTGCATCTTGTGCTCCTAGACTAGATTAAGAATGATGCAGTAATGTGACCATTGATAGATCTTAGTAATCCGTGCTGATATGTAATGTTTGTATGCGTGCATCGTAGCTTCAATATCGCCTGGTGTTCGCTTGCCATGATGCAAGCTGTAGAGAGGAAGTCGGCGGCACTGTGATAAAAGGATTCTGACATTGTTATTAGTGTTATCTTTTTCGTGCTAGCATGATGGACTAGTTGTTCTTGTTCTCCATCACTCTTGTCCAATCAATCACCCATCCACGCACCTGTCCAATCAATCGCTCAACTGATCCTCGAACGCCTTCCTAAGTCGTCAGCCGTTTCCTCAACTGTAACTTCAACCGTGCCTTTTTCTAACACTCCTCCTCGGCTACGACTTACCGTCCTAACCTAGGCTGATCATCTCACACAGCGCCGCGAGCTTGACTGCATCTAGCGCCTTCGTCAAAAGATCCGCTAGTTGTTGCTCCGAGCGGACGTACTGCGACACGATGATCCCGCGTCGAGCGAAGTCGCACACGAACTTCGTGCGAACATCGATGTGCTTGGCCTTTAGAGATGACGCCTCGCCTGCCAGCTGCTTCAGTGCCGCCTGATTGTCGACGTGGAGTACCATCGGTAGCGCCGGCGGCTTACCGATCTCGGTTAGCATCTCCCTGATACCAAGAAGCTCGCGCGCCTGCTCCGATGCAGCGACGAACTCCGCTTCCATCGTCGAGAGCGAGACGCCGCCTTGCTTCTTCGACGTCCAGCTGACCGGCATGCCGTTCAGGCGGATGATGCCGCCAGTCAAGGACTTTCTGTCACTCTTTTCCGCCGCAAAATCGGCGTCCGAGTACGCCTCGAGCTGGATCTTGCCGTCGAGGTGCTTCGCTGGTTTCATCCGAAGCTTGTAGTCCCGCGTCCCCTTCAGGTACCGCGCGATGCGTTTGGCAAGCTTCATATCGTGGATTCGCGGCTGATGAGTCTGACGCGTCGCCTTGTGCACGGCGAACGCAATTTCCGGCCGTGTGCAACGCGCGATCCACAGAAGACTGCCGACGAGGGACTGGAACGTCTTGATTGTTGGCGCCTTCTGCACCTTAGTCTCGGTGAGCAGCGCGCTGTCATCTGGTAGCACGTCGTAGCAGTCAGCCCCAATTGGTGCTTTCGTCGGGTTTGCATCCTCGAGCCCATGCTCACGCAGGAGCTCGCCGATCGCCTCGGCCTGGTCAAGCACGTAGCCGCCACTGTTATCAATCGTGACACGCATGCCGAGGAACTTGCTAACGGTGCCGAGGTCCTTGATCGACAAGCTGCCGAGCTTGACGAAGAATCGGTCGACGGCTGCAGCGTCCGTGCCGGTAGCAAGTAGATCGTCGACGTAGACGCCCACGATGACCAACTGTCCACCCTCGACTTGGTAGTATAGACACATGTCGGAAATACATTGCCGGAAGCCGGCTTCGAGCAGTCGAGCGTGCAGGAGCTGGCTCCAGAGTCGGCCAGCCTGCTTGAGGCCGTACAGGCTCTTTCGTAGCTGCAGCACTACTTCCTTCTTTGTCGCTGCGCCTACCATCTTGAGCGCGTCTTGATCGATTGTCATTGCCTGCGGCACCTGGAGTAGTATTTCCAAGTGCGCTTCCTTGTCAGCCTTGACATACGCGTTGGGGATGTCGCCATGCTTTGCTGGGACACCCCATATCGCCGCAACCACCAAGATCACCTTCACGGTCGACATGTCCATGACAGCCGCAAATGTAAGCTGGTAGTCGACCCCAAAAACTTGCTCGTTGCCGCAGGCGACCAGTCGAGCCTTCAAGCGCTCTATCTCACCGTGCGCGTCGGTCTTGGTCTTGAAAACCCACTTCGTGTGCAGAGTGTTGCTGCCTGGAGGTCGCTTGATCAAGCGCCACACGCCATTGTCTTCTAGGGCTTGGAGCTCTTCGCGCATGGCCTTTTCCCAGCCTTCACGCTTAGTGCTGCGTAGCGCTTCTCCGTAGTTCCTTGGGATCGCACTCATACACATGAGCCACCACGCTGTCGTCGCCAGCTGGCTCCTCCTGATCGGCGGCCGCCTTGGTAGCGCCGCGCGTCCGGTGAGCCGCGCGTGTCCACGACTTCGATTTCTTCTTGCCGATGCGTATCGTCGGCGATGCGGCATCGTCAGCAGCCGGCGACTCTTTGTTTTTTGTTGTTGTTGCCGCTGTCTCCACGGCATGAGTATACATACTCGAGCGCGCGCTGCAGCTGACCATTCTTCTCTGCGCTGAGCGTCTCGATGTTGCGCACATGCTGCGTGATCGTGATCTTGTACTCCATTTGGAGGAAGACGCGAAAGCCCTTAGTCTCGTCGCTCCGCCCAATGATCACGCCGACTTGTGCGCGCTGCGCGAGCGAGTTCTTGCCTGGGTCACGGTAGACCAAGCAGATAGAGCCAAAGGCGACGATGTCGCGCAGATCCGGCACTTGCTTCGTCATTACCTCAATCGGCGACGCGCGCTTCGCATTCGCGCTCGTTGGGCTGCGGTTGAGGATGTACGCCGCGTACTCAACCGCATCGCCCCAAAACGTCAATGGCAGTCGGCTGGCAAAGATCATGCTGCGCGCCATGTTCAGGATCGTCCTGTGCATGCGCTCGGCCTTGCCGTTTGACGTCTGATTCCTCGCCTCGCTGATCTGCCGCGCGACGCCCGTTCGCTTGCAGAAGAGGTCTACATTCGCGTATTCGTCGCCGCCATCAGTGCGTAGCACGTGGATCCGGCAGTCGAACTGGCGCTCAAAGAACGCGAGGAAGTGCTCAAACTTCTTGGCCGCCTTGTCCTTTGTAGGCGCCAGGAAGACGCGACAGTAGTTCGACTTATGATCGACAAAGTTGACAAGGTAACGATTGTGCAATCGATCCTTCGGGGTCATCGGACCCTTGAGGCCTGAGCAGATCACCCCGCCAACTCTGTCGATCGGCGAGTTTGATCCAGTGTCCTTCTTCGACTGCACGTTCCTTGTTTGCTTGCCCTGTGCGCAAGAGATGCACGTCGGGCGCTTGCGATCCGTTAGCACGATGCCGGACGCGGGGTCTCTCGCCATACGCTCGACGGTGTCGTACGCGAGATGCCCAAGCCTTTGGTGGAAGTGCAGCAGCGAGCCGCTTTGCGTGTCCGACTCGGGTTCTTCCGGAGCTGCCTGGCTCGTCAGGATCGCCATGAGCGCTTCTCTAGGCGCTCGTCGCTCGCGAGCCGCTGCAACTGTCTGGACGTAGAGCACATTGTGGTCCATCGCCACATCGAACGCGACTTGGCCATTGCTGCGTCGTGCCAACACGCGCGACTCGCCGTCGTAGACGAGCCCATAACCTTGATCTCGAGCTTACCGTAGGACATGATGTTGCGCGATAACTCGGGCGCCAGATACACGTCCTTCAGCGTCACATCTTGCTGCTGTCCTCTCGCGAGCACAGTCAGCACGACGCTTCCGACTTGCGTTAACTTGATGGTCTCCCCATCTGCCAAGTGGCACTCTTGATCGCAGTCCCTCGCGTCGCGCAGCAGGGTTGCGTCGTTCACAAGGTGTCGTCTGGAACCGCTATCGAGTATCCAGTCGTCATCTTCGTCATCGCTGTCGTCACCAATCGCCATCGCCAGGCTTTGACCGGTGGAGCGCGAGCCGTTGCGACCTCTTCCTTCACCAACAGCTAGCGTGATGCTGCCGCCGTCTTTTGGGCCTCTGCCCCTCTTCTTGTCGTCATTCTTCTTGCTGCGACAGTCCTTCTTTAGATGGCCGACCTTCCCACACCCGTGGCAAGTGCGTGTCTCCTTGCGCGACACGGACTCGTCCACGTGCGCGACGACCTCCTTCCCGAAGGATCTTCCTGATCTAGCTTCCATCTCGATTGCTTGCGCGAAGTGCGCGAGCTCTTCCGCGTGCACGAGGTAGTCGGTGCGGTGCGTCTGGTACTTCGCCATGAGTATTGTAGACAGCTCAGACGAGGCGTAGCGCACGATGTTGTCCAGAACCTGCTGCTCAGCGCCGCCCGCAGCGTCGCTGACAGCGACCAGATACAAGTAGTGTTCTGGCCAGGATCTCTTGCTTTCTTTCTTCGCCGTGAAGAGTTTCATCGCTTGAGCGGCGGTTATCGTCGTCTTGAACGTGTCCAGCATGCGCTGCATCACGTACTGCAATGTAGGCAGCACGGCCCACCACGTGTCGACCTGCTTGCTGAAATACCGCTCGGCAGTGCCAGTGAGGTACTGCCCGAGCACGTCAGTCTTCACATTCTCGCTCCACAGGAAACCGCAAGACTCCTGTGCCATGTCGACCTGGCGCCAAAACGTCTTGCCCCAGTCGAAGAAGCCGGACCCGAGTCCAACGTACACCTCAGTGCCATCGAACTTGCGGATCGCCAGCTTGCGCTGCCTGGCATCCGGAGTGCGATACTGCATCGGCATCACTTGTTGCTGCTGCTGTACTGGCTGCCCTGGAGCTGCCGGCATCGTCTGAGGCACTGGTGCCGGCTGGTATGGTGGCAATGGGGCAGGCGGCTGAGGCAACGGATCAGCACGCTTCTGCAGCTGCTCTCTCGCTCGCATCCGTAGGTCTTCGAGCCGCGCTGGTGCACGCCGCAATTGCTGCTGAGACTGCCGATCGTGCAAGTCCTCAAGCTCCATTGCGCCGCCGTGGAGTCGCCCTGCGAAGTCCGCCCCGAGCTCTGATCGGAACAGCTCGCTCTCGTGAGCGCCACGCATGCGCTCGTCTTCGTCCATGCGTGCTTGGGATGCTTCTATCTTCTGCATTCGCAAGTCCATGCCCGTGAGCATCTTGAGGACCCTCTCCAGTGCGTCAGGCTCCGGGCTCCTTGCGTGAGCGGTAGGAGAGACGACCGTAGCAGGCGCGGCCGCGGCCCTTTCGTGACCGGTTGCCGGCGGCGCCTGTGCCACGTTGGTGTCGTCGTTTGCTTCCCGTCTTGGGCTCATAACCTGTTCGCTTGCCATGATGCAAGCTGTAGAGAGGAAGTCGGCGGCACTGTGATAAAAGGATTCTGACATTGTTATTAGTGTTATCTTTTTCGTGCTAGCATGATGGACTAGTTGTTCTTGTTCTCCATCACTCTTGTCCAATCAATCACCCATCCACGCACCTGTCCAATCAATCGCTCAACTGATCCTCGAACGCCTTCCTAAGTCGTCAGCCGTTTCCTCAACTGTAACTTCAACCGTGCCTTTTTCTAACACCTGGACCTCTTGATACTACGATCTTGTCTTTGAAAAGCGTATACGCGTCTTGCAAGATTTAATGCACTTCCCCGCCTCAAGCTTCGTGAGTCATGGAGAGAAGTATCGTACATCGAAATGATCACAGTACGATACTTTCTTTGAAAGAATTCTATTTCTTAGGACCATAGAGACGTCAAGGGTAATGCTAAATGTTCTGACAAAATGTTAGCGACAACCATTTGAAAACAATGTGTCTAGTATAGAGCGCAACATGAATGAAGCACAACACTAGCGTGTTGAAATGATATATTACTTTGTACGCGAGATGAGTTCTGTTCGACTTGACGACAGTAAAGTGCAAGGCACTCGCAGGATAGTATGTACAAACGACCTAGGTGATCCTTGCAGTGAGTCAAAGCTGTCCAGTCGGCACGCTCCCTACTTGACTTTCACGGCAAATGGATGGAGAGTGTGATCCAGCACGAATATCCAGCATACCATAGTAGATGCTACGGTGCTATCATTGCCCAACGCTTCGCTTACGTTCCAGTTCAGACAGATATGCCGTCCTCATATCTGCATCCACCTAGGACGGGCCATCCAAGGCTCACTTACTGAAACGTCTGCTACCCACGAGCGAAAGTAGTTCGCGCGTCCTATAGGTTTAGTACGATTCAAGAGGCAACATTACGAGACGAACGTGATGCTCCACAAAAGCGGCATCATCGTGCCTACGCTGGAGCTCGAGCGGAACGATGAGAAATTGGTGCAGAAGCTTGCAGCTACTCTTTTACAGCAAAACCTAGACCAATATAGCGATCTGGCAGTCACGAATGATGGCCACCCGGATTCTCGATCATGGGCCGCTATTCAAAGACGTGAGGGGATACGAGTTTTCAAGGAAAGCACTCGTCAACAACGGCAGCAGATCACGTCTCAGGCAGCTACTGGGAATAGCAACGTGAAGACTGCAAAGGTGCCTCCATCCTTGTTACTGGTGGGGACCGTCAAGGGCAGTCTTGACGACTTATTGTACGCCACGGCGGCGTCCTCAACCGAGGCGATGCTGACCAAGTCCAAGTTTATTAACGATGGCGTTGTCGCCTCCAAAGTGCTGGCTCGGATCATTGAGCCTTCAATGGCAGATCCGTTGCACTCCTCAATGTGACGTGGCGCTACTGCACGCTGTCTGAACCTCGAGACTATGTTTGTCTGGACGTTGCTGGCTGGAGCAATACTGATCGAGGCGAGCGAGTCACCTACCACCTCATTCATTCCGTGGGCTTCGATGTACTCCCCAGCTATGAGCACAAAGGAATCGCTCGAGTCAATATGTCGGTATGTTGGATATTCCGTCAAAAACAGCTACTCTCGTCGAGTGTTACGCACGAGGCTTCTACGACTTGGATACAACCAATGCCATGCTCAACTCCATCTCGACGCACACGATTGCATTACAATGGTTGTCATGTGCCAAGCTCATTTCATACGCTCAAAGCATGAAGCTTGCTCGGCTAGTGAACTGTGTCAAAGGGCCTGTCAGCTCTGACTGCAGTGAGAGCGACAGCGGCGACGGACTATATAAAAACAGCGCTCTCTTTCCATCTCAATCCATGCCTAGCTCTACATCCAGCTTTGGCGACTCCACTATGCTGCTACCTCCTCCGCGAGAGCTGTCAAGAATATTGGCTCCGTGCTGTAAGTTGTGCTGCAAGAGTTTCCGTTTTCTAGGCGCCTCCCGTCGCGTTTGCCAGGCCTGCGATCAAGACGTGTGTTCGCGGTGCAGTATCAAGGAAACATTGTGCCTATTTTCAAGAACTAGACAACGTGCTCGAGAAAGCAAAAAGAATTTCTGTAAACACTGTGTGGCCGGCGCCATGCGCAGCAAAGCTGGTGCTTTGGTACGTGACGACTTTATCGCGACTGCACCACCCACACAGCATAGCTGGTAAGAGTGCCTTTGTTTCCAGATGAGCACAATATCACCAAGACACAAGAATGCAAGAGCGCTTCGTGGTCTCTACAGTCAGTAAAAAAAAGATGGTGCGTAGTAGACCAAGAGAAAGAGTCTGCACAAAACTGATTGTCCTAATGTAATGGACAATCACGAATATATCGCTGCAGTGTGTAAGCGTAGAGTTGAAGACAGAGACGTGTTCAGTTGTGCTGCATAATTAACTGTTAATGCAATAGAGAGAACCACGATATCAATGGACGTGGTTCCAAGTACATACGAAAAAAGGAAAAATAATGCTGCGAATAGTGGTGCTACAGTATGGCAATCTACTTGCTTAGGCACAATTCACGTTAAGGCACTTTAATACTCAGGCTTATTGATAAGCAATTGGCGCTTTGATTGCTTATAGTATCAGTGAGTTGCTTGTTGTTGATAATGAATAGAATGCAGACGATACTCTTGGGCAATGAATGGATCAGCCATTCATAGGCGCTGAGCATAGGACGGGATGTGCCAAATGTAAGGGATTGCGCCTATTGTATTAAATAAAGGGCTTTTTTGTCAGGAAAAAGACGTAATTGCGTTCATGTAGTGTACAATTTCTTGTCCTGTCGTCAGTTCTGAAGCTTAGCTCAGTACCCGCTAAGTTCAGTATAATTTCCAAGTCACATTTATCAAGAGATCAAAGACCTGGTACTGAGAGCATTTTATAACTATCCATGATGTCCAAGGACGATTTAATGGCACAGGCGCTACCAAGACTTGAGTTATCAAATCAAGATATCAAGACAATCTTGGAGCTTTCGGTGTGTTTATTAGAAACAAACCTAATGCTGCAAAAACAACTACAGTTGACAAGGGATCGATTCCCAGACTCGAGAGTTTGGCGAGAAGTGCAACGAAAAGACGGGATGAGGGTGTTCAAGGAATTTCAACCACAGCATTTACTGCCAAGTGGAAATAGTCCACAAGCTGATGCTAGTCACCCAGACCAGGCAAAAATGTCATCGCTCTTAATGCTCGGAACTGTAGCAGGTAATTTGAACGACGTCATGTACGCGTCCATTGCAATGAGCACCGATTCAATGCGAGCACGATCCAAGTTTGTGCAAGATGGTGTCGTGAATAGCAAGATTCTTTCTTGTGTCGAAAGCCCAACTTCGGACGACCCTTTCCATACGCTCAATGTCACTTGGCGTTATTACTCACTGTCCGAGCCTCGTGACTATACGTGTATTGAAGCAACTGGACTGGTGTCCAATGATTACGGTGAACCCGTGGGTTTTCACCTTATCCATTCGCTTGATTTTGCACAACTACCGATGTTTCAGAATTACGGCGTTGAGCGAGCCAATATGTCAGCATGCACCTTTTTCCGTCAGAAATCCTCGACGCTTGTCGAGTGTTATACGCGCGGATACTTTGATTTTCGTTCGATGAATGGATTGCTTAACAACATGTCATTGCATACTATTTCAACGCAATGGCTTTCGATGGCTCGATACGTTGAATGTGCGCAGATGAAAAAGCTTGTATGGTGGATGCGCATGCGAACAGGACGAGACTCTTTTGCTAGCACCAGTCAAAGTTCCAGTTCAACGTCGTCAAGGGGTATCACCGTAATACAACAAAATGCTCGTCCTCGCGTTCAATCTGGCACACGCTGTCGTGTATGTAACCTTAGTTTGGGCGGGTTCTTGCGCTCAAGGCCTCGAGTTTGTGCTTGCTGTGCTGAGTGGGCATGTAAACGCTGTTGTGTCAAGAAGCAAGTGTGCGTCGTGTCGAGCCACAACAAAAGCAAGGTGAACGAAAAAAAGCTCGTCTTCTGCGCGCAGTGCATTGCAGAAGCCTCCAAGAGCGACGCCTCGCTTATTCTTTGCGAAGAGCTTATGGGGGATAGTTCGTCATATACATCCACTCGTCGACCCACACTGGAAACAATGAACATCTTGGAGGAATGTTCTCTTGTGTTGTGAGTAGTTGTTATCGTGTAATTCGCTGTAGATAGGCGCGTAAAGGGCATTTTGGGTGAGGCCATCGACTGCGGCTAATATATTGAGTGAGGTTTGTTAGTGTTGTTGGCATTAATCTCACGACATGCATTACTATGTCAGTAGAGGAAGGTGCGAGGAGGCAGCTTCCAGGAGACACCGCACACAATCTATTGTTAACCTTCAGTGGAGAGACCAAAACATGTGCAACATACTTACTCTTCAATGATCTTGTTGCGCATCTCCGACACCTTGAAGCCAGGCATCTCAAACGACGTGGCCAGCGTATTCACATCACGACGTAGCTGTTTTACGCCCTCGTGGACTTCAGCAGCCTTGATGAAGTCTACCAACTTCTTGCCGCTTGTACTCTGAATCTCAATGCACAGCTTCACAGCACGGTCGAGGAACTCGGCGACCTTGACAAAGTCAGCCTCCTTAAAGCCACGGCTAGTAAGAGCAGGCGTGCCAACGCGCACACCGCCCGGGGTAAGGGCGCTGCGGTCACCCAACACGGCGTTCTTGTTGAGTGTAATAGAGACCATGTCGCAAAGCTTCTCAAGCTTAGAGCCCGTAACGCCCTGTGGACGCAAGTCCCATAGAACCAAGTGGTTCTCAGTGCCACCCGTGCACATTGTGTAGCCCAGGTCAGTCAAAGTCTTGGCCAGAATCTTGGCATTAGCCTTAAGCTGCTGCACGTACGCCTTGAACTCGGGGGTCTGCACCTCCTTCAATTGCGCAGCAATACCGGCAATCTGGTGCTCATGCGGTCCACCCTGAAGCGCTGGAAACACGGCATTGTTGATACGAGGCTCAAAGTTACGTTCGTCACGGCGGTAAAAGATCATGCCAGCACGCGGGCCACGCAGCGACTTGTGCGTCGTCGTCGTCACAATATCACAGTACTCAAAAGGACTGTTGTGCTCCTGAGTAACCACAAGACCACTGTAATGCGCCATGTCACACATGAGCAAAGCGCCATTATCATCAGCAATCTTACGGAAAGCGGCATAGTCCCAGTCACGGGGGTACGCGCTACCACCACAAATAATCATCGCTGGCTTGAACAGAGCAGCCTGTTCAGCGAGCTTTTCAAAGTCAATCAGACCCGTCTCAGCGTTCACACGGTATGGCAACGACTCAAAGTACACTGACGTAGCAGAAACCGCTTTGCGTGTCTTCTCAGCCTTAGAGTAAGTGTAGAACCCGTGGGTCAAGTGACCTCCACTGGGCAAATCTAGACCCATGATACGGTCGTGTGGACGCAGCAAAGCCGTGTAGACAGCAAAGTTAGCAGGTGAACCAGAGTATGGCTGCACGTTGACACCCCACTTGTCTTCAGCAAGACCGTAGGCCGTGAGGGCACGTTGCTGACACAAAATTTCAATCTTGTCGATCACTTCATTGCCGCCATAATACCGTGCATTCGGCTGTCCCTCGGCGTATTTGTTAGTCAGACACGAGCCCAAACAATCCATGACTGCGCGAGACGTAAAGTTCTCCGAGGCGATAAGCTCCAGGCATTTCCATTGCCGATTCTTCTCGGCTTCAATGAGATTGAAAATCTCGGGATCTTGCTCTTCGAGCGTAGCGTTACCGGCCTGAGGACAGAAAGAAGATGAGAATGATAAAAAGGTATTAGATGAAGTGAGAGAGCGGGTGAATACAACGTACGAGAACCATAAGGAAACGAAGAGTGAATGCGGTTGAAGGTTGAGGTGCAAGAAGCAAAATGCGGAATGCGGCAATGGAGACCACACGTTGCAGTGACCATCACTCTGCTACATGAGTTTTTTTTTTTTTTTAACCAATAATTCCCTTTGCCTCTTCGACCTGTCAAATTCGTTCCCTAGCCCTGGTACATGAAGTATTGCACATTAAAAAGCTCGGCCAATTTTAAGATCAGTCAGTACGCTGCCATGGCTACCTCGTCTTCGCAAGTGTCGTCCCTGTCACCAGCGGCGCTGGAGATTTTACCAAACATCCTGGTAAATAATGAGGAATCTTCTCTTTCTATACATACTGGAAATATCGCTATATGCTTCGTGGAATCGAAGAAAATTGTTATTCTTCTTACTCATCCTAAGATATGTCCCCATATATTGTAGGCAGCCATCGGTCAGACGCCCTTAGTACGCATAAATAACATCAACAAGAAAGCTCATCTACAGTGTGAACTTCTGGCCAAGTGTGAGTTTTTTAACGCTGGTGGGTCGATCAAGGACCGCATTGCTAAGCGAATGATAGAAGACGCCGAGGCAGCGGGTCGCATTAAACCTGGTGACACACTTATTGAGCCCACGTCTGGCAATACTGGTATGCAGATTTCAAGGGTTTGTAGAGGTGGAAAACAGGCTGAAAGACTGACATTGTGGAGGTTCTAGGCATTGGGTTAGCGCTCGCATCGGCTATCAAGGGCTATCGATGCATCATCACACTACCGGGTGAGTTTTGATAAGTAATGGAAGGCTTGTGTTACTTGATCTGGCTGGACATAACCTTTGTATGTTATTACAGAAAAAATGAGTCTGGAAAAAGTAAACATTTTGAAGGCACTTGGGGCTGAGATTATCCGTACGCCCACAGAGGCTGCGTGGGACTCGCCGGAGAGCCATATTGGAATTGCCAAAAGACTGCAGGTTGAGCTTCCAAACGCTCACATTTTGGACCAATATGCCAACCCGTCTAATCCGTTGGCACACTATGAGGGCACAGCTGAAGAGATCTTGGACCAATGTGACGGAAGAGTGGATATGGTTGTGATAGGTGTTGGTACCGGTGGAACAATTACTGGGATCGCCAAGAAGCTGAAAGAGAAATGTCCTGACGTTATTGTTGTTGGTGTGGATCCGGAAGGATCGATTTTGGCCCAGCCCGAGTCATTGAACGACAAGAATCGTTTGAAATCGTACAAAGTAGAGGGTATTGGCTACGATTTCATTCCGGACGTGCTTGATCGCAACCTGGTGGATAAGTGGGAGAAGACGAACGACCAAGAGTCATTTATCATGTCCCGCCGTTTAATTCGTGAGGAGGGGCTTTTGTGCGGCGGATCGTGTGGTTCCGCAATGGCGGTGGCAGTGCGTGCCGCCGCTACACTAAAGACTGGCCAGCGCTGCGTCGTCATTCTGGCGGACTCGACGCGTAACTACATGACAAAGTTCATAAACGACGAGTGGATGTACGAGAACAAATTCGTGGAAAATACGGTACACACCCGCGAAAACTACTCGAAGTACCGCAAAGAAACTGGCACGTGGTGGTCGGAGCAGCGTGTATCGGTGCTAGAGCTACCGCACCCTTCGACAGTGCCTCCCATCCTCTCATGCGCTGCCGCTATTGAGACGATGGAGCACCATGGTTACGACCAGCTGCCTGTCGTGGCAGAAAATGGTATTGTACAGGGTGTGGTTACCATTGGCAACCTGTTGTCAATGCTATCTTCAGGTCGCGTTATGCGCACGGACCCAGTCGGAGCTGTGACTTTTGGCAATTTCAGCCGTGTTACTCATGAAAGCTCGTTGGCCGAACTCGCCACTATTTTTGACAAGGACTACTTTGCTGTCGTAACTTCGAAAGACGAAAAGATTGCTGGTCTTGCGACGAGAATCGATCTCTTAAACTACATTACTAGTGCTCACAAGGACTAAGTCAAGTCTGGTGTCTATCATACATAGTAGTATAGCAAAGATCCGATGTAATTGATTTTAAACAAGTAAATAGCTGACCGCAGTTCGAGCAATTATCATTACAATCCTACCACGGCTTGTAGCTCATCTCACTACCATCGCTTAAAAACTAAATGCTTCCATGCGTCGTTCTAGCCCATCTTATAGCTTCAGGGCGGTTGCTCACCGCCTTTTTTATATTGCAATAATCCGAGGTACAAAGACGTTGCTGCATCCGGACGCAAACTGACTCGACATGCATAAACGTGGCCTGCTTACGTGAAAATTCCAAAAAGGAGTTTCGAGACGCCAACTTATTGCAATACTTTATTAATTGTTGCAATAGCGGACTTTTTCAACAAATATCCAATCATCTGGATTTTTATTCCGAATCCGGATTATACCTAAATGAAGGATAGTGAGAGCTCGCTACGGCAGCGCAAGACTACAGGTCTATCTGCTGTAGCCATCGCAAACAAATCTTCGGTCGCGGCAGCTGACTCGCACCACTATAGACCCGACAAATTGCCTTACAATACGTTCCGCGCGTCACATGGCAGTGAAGTTGAGGGACTTTTGCTCTTTCCAGAACAACCCCGTCAGATTTTTGTGTTATTTGTCGTAGTTGCGGGTTTTTCGTACTTTTCATTCACCCACGAGTCACAAAACACGGGACAAAATGTTCGTAATGCGTTATTTGCTGCAATTCTCGTGTTCCTCGTCTATTGTTTCTTGCAAACAAGAGACGGTCTGATGATGCGTCCACATCCTGGACTCTGGCGAGTCGTGCATGGCTGTTCCGTCGTGTATTTGCTGCTATTAGCAGCCATGTTGGTACAAAACCGACAGGGTGCAATAAACGCCATGCAGTTTGTACTCCCAGAAGTAGGGACTCGACCCAAGACCGTTGTCGCGGTACAAGTTCAGTGTGATATCAATTCTGCGGTAATATTAATTGTTACAGGGAATAGGTTTTGGGGGTTTTTCCATAGTATAATAGTTTTGGAGTAATTGTTTGTGTATTTTTGGGTTTTATGTGATCTTGCAGTCATTAACTCGTGGAGTAACAAGTATCTGGTTTTTTGCTCATGTGACGGGCTGGTGGGGCAAAATGTGTATGTTTCGTGACTGGCGATTTTGCTGGGTGCTCAGCATTGCCTTTGAAATCTTAGAACTTGCACTGCAATTTGTCATTCCGGACTTTCAAGAGTGTTGGTGCGTTATGTATCACAATGGTCATGTTAAGTATAATAATAATCAGGACAGACTGATTCATTGTTTGTTGTGGATGTTGTATTCTTTTTTCTAGGTGGGATTCGCTGTTGTTGGATATGCTGGGGGCAAATATGCTGGGCATGTGTCTTGGTCGCGTAACGTTGTGGTTATTGGAATCGAAGGAATACGATTGGTCGGGTCGTCGAGGCAAGAAGTTGGGCTACTTTCGTTTAGCGCTAAACCAGTTTACGCCTTTCAGTTGGGAACAATATCATTGGGAAGTATTTTCAAGTTTTAAGCGATTCGCCGAGATTGTGTTCGCAATGCTGATGTGTCTGATTACGGAGCTGAATGCCTTCTTCATGCTGACAACATTGAGCATTCCGAAAGAGAGCAATTTTAACTCATACCGCCTCTTTCTCGTATTCATGCTCGGAATCCCCGCAGCTGCTGAGGTGCGTCTGTTGGATATTTGCGTTGCCTTTCGTTTGTCTTGTACTCATAGGTGTCTAACGTTTTATTCCTTCTACAGTACTATGAGTTTATTACAAACCCTGAATGCTGGCGCTTAGGTCAGAATACGTGGATGATCCTGTCGATCGCAACTTTTGAGATTCTCGTGTGGGTCAAGTTTTCGGCTAACGGCGTGTTATTCACGCAACCGCCACCAGCCTTAGTAATTTATCCGATTCTAGCATTCGTGGTCATGTTTTCGATCTGGATGCTGCTTTTCTTCCGAGGTGCACCGCGCCAACCTACACCTCGACGTTCGCGTAGACTTGTCACTGGTTGGGGGTACCTCGATGTGCTATTTTGGGCCTCTTTTGCCCCGTTGGTCATCTTGACGTCGCAATGGGCATTTTAACGGCAACTACTTCCTGCATGACAAAGGAGAGTGCCGTCACCATTCGAGTTAAGACGAACATAGTGCCTCGACAACGCTACGTGCTGATAATCGTTGAAGACGAGGAGGGCCACATGTCAATGTTGAATTACGAAATACTCGCGTTAAAGGTCAATCATAGCTTGTACAGAATGCTGGATCCATGCAGATCAAGAAAATCAACGATTTGCCGTCGCGAGTGATAACGTAATAGCTCACAATCCATATTTGGAACTTGCCAACATTCTTATTAAACTACAGCTACAATAACCATGTCAGTGCGTGGATACGTGTCTCACGTGATGACGTTATCACTCTTGTCCAAAAACTATTAGAATACGTCTTGAGTCCTAAAAATGCAACAAAAAAGATACACTGAGATGGTGTAATCGCTTGATGACACGACATATGGAGATTACGGTACGTTCACAAGTCGTTCCGTAATCACGAAGAAAGCACTTTTTACAACCGATGACGAACAAAAACCCGTGATAATTGATGACGTGCTATGCATTACTGGAGACACGAATCTATGGACGCGGCTATGGAGATGCATTTGAATGGAAAAACTAATGGGTCAAAGGATCGAGTGGTTTCCATTATTGCAACCACGAACTATGCAGCTTCGAGTGTCACGTACTCAACGTGGTAATGCTCATTGAAAAAGAAGTCCATGACCATTACTGGAAGAAAAATAGAGCAAAAATTGGTGGCAATGGAGAAGATTTGAACATGATGCCAATTTGTCGGCAAAGTACGCGCGGCACGACCTGCTTGTCGTAACATCGAGCCATGACCTTTGTCAGTACGATCTATGAGAAAGATCTAGTCGAGTTTATTTGCCTGTTAATCTGCTCCGCGTTCAACGTCTGTCTACAGACATGCAGAACAAACGCTTCACATTGATAACGAATCATCTGAGCTCGCACCTTTATTGGGCACCCTGGGCATGCAGGTGCACCGAGTTCACGTTGCCACTGCCGTCGCCGCCGAAACGCGGGTCGTGGCCACTTGCAAGTGGCCGAATACCTGAGAGCGTCTTGAGCTCCGTAATAATTCGAGCACACAGATTCATGTACGTGAAGGCATTCCCATCCAGACGTTGAAAGTCAAGTAGGTAGATATGCTGCTGCACCTTATACAGCTGAAGACCAATCTTGATGCGCTGCATTTGCTGTTGCAACATTGCCTCCTCTGGACTCATTACTGCGCTGCCATTTGTGTCTTCTCCTGAAGATTGCCATCTGCACTTGACGCGGTACGGCGCCACCACTTTCCACTCAAAGTGGAGCACGAAAAGTGCTTTGTAGACCTCGGACATTACATGAGCCGGCTCTTTCTTTGACTGGATTCCCAGGTACCACCGTCGCCGCTTGGGCGTAGGAGCGGCACTACCATGGCCATCTTCAAAGCCAAGCATGCCGTTGCCTCCAGCTATTGACATTCGCGAACCCTGCCCTGGAATATTAATTCCTCGCCCACCAAAATTCCGTGGGTCAGCGAGAGCTGACGAGGGTGTCACCAAAGGAGATGCCGCCATTGGAAGCGGTCCTCGTCCAGGTAGCAACAATGTACTAGGCTCAGGAGTTGAGAACGTTTTCGGCTTGTTATTCACCGTGCGCACGTCCCGCAATTCTATAACACATTTGTCAGTCCGAAACTCCTCAGCACACAAAATGTAGACAACTGACCATCAATGCGAATCTTGGCGTTCTTGTGATCAAGAATAAGCTCGTACACCACACGAAGCGGATGGTTCTCTCGCCTCATAAGAAGTGCCACGAGCTGTTCGTGTTCGACATTAGCTGCATAGTTCAGTGCCAAGCATTGTGATAGGCACTCCTCGTCAATCTTGAACGTCTACGTCATGAAACAGACACAATCAACAGTGAATACAGAATTGGATCTCCAATATACTGATAGTGCACCACATACCTCGTTCTCTACAATTTCCGGTGGGTGCTGTAGATACGGCGGGAGATCGATTTGGAACCATGGATGCTGCCTGATTTCTGGGATCGTAATACGTTTCATAGGGTCTACCACGAGCATACGCGGGATGAGGTCGCGCGCCATCTCGGACAAATGACTTGGCAGCGAGTACATGCCACCTCGAATCTTCTTGAACAAATTAGGGATGCTTTCGTCATCAAACGGTAGACTACCACACAATAGTGCATACAGAATAACACCACAAGACCAGACGTCGACTTCTGGACCAGCATACAAACTACCGGAAATTACTTCCGGTGCTGCGTAATTTGGAGATCCACAGGATGTCCGTAGAAAATCTCCGTCCTCCATACTGTTCGACAGCCCAAAGTCTGCAATTTTAATATTGTTATCAGCATCCAGCAGCAAATTTTCAGGTTTCAAGTCTCGATGCACAATCCGATGGAAATGGCAGTACTCGACTCCCGAAATAATCTGGTGAAAAAAGTGTCTCGCTTCTTCTGGAGCCAACTAATAGTGTAAGAAAAGCAACAACAAAACACAAAAAAATGGTTTGTAACATAACTAGAAATGCATTTCTAACCTCACACAAATAGACACCAACCCGGCCTTTTGACACAATATAGTCAAAGAGTTCTCCACCGGCAATATACTCGAGCACCATGAAAATATCCGTTGGTGTATCAATTACCTCGTACCTAGAAAAACAAATAGCCAGCAAAAAAATAATGTAAGTTTTTTTCCAATGATAATTTTGTTGTTGTTGTTGGATATTTTTTTCAACTCCACAACGTACAGTCGGATAATATGGGGATGACGCATTTTGCGTAATAATGTAATCTCCCTCCGGACTTTTTCGCTCATATCGAGACTGCGAATTTTATTGCGATTGAGAATTTTAATTGCCACTTTGTGTCCCGTAATATCATGTTCAGCCACTTTTTTTTTGTGTCGTCGTAGAAATCATCAGTAACAAAAAAAGAGACACCGTCACACTTTTTTCTTTTGTAACTTTTATAAAAGACCAAAACCTGTGAGACTTAATATCAAAACATGACAGTGGACGTACATTTGACTTTACCAAACGAGCCAATACCGAGTGTTTTACTCAGATGATAATGGCCTAATTGGATAGGAATGTCGTTCATGGGCTTGAAGATACACGGGAGAGAGAGAGAGAGAGAGAGAGAGAGAGAGAGAGAGAGAGAGAGATGAAGAGACAAGAGAGAGAGAGAGAGAGATGAAGAGACAAGAAGAGCAAAATCACCAATTCGTTTTCAGGTCGCGTAGTCGATAGGAATACGTTGGGGTAGTGTGTGGTGTGGTGTACACCAACTATCACAAATACCGGTATTATCAGTGTCCGATGGTATAGAGCTCTTTCGTAGATCGCATCTTTTCTGGGGTTTAGCGGTACTTCAACTCCGTAGCAAAGAATGGAATATACCGTATAACCTGTTTAAACTGCTATTTCTGTTATAATAGTAATCTATTTGTTCACAAAGGGTATCGGATGAGACAGGTATAGTGTAACCAGCTTTTGCCTTATAAGGTTCGTAGATGCTTAGCAGATAACAAATGGTATTAGTTATGGAAGGACAGCTTACGAGATCCTGATGAGCAAATCGTGGTCTAGCGACTTTACTTGTGCCAAAGGCTTTGCTGACTGCAAGTTACAGACGACCGACACCATATAAGAAACCCCAGTATAAACACATGGTGCTGTATGGACTAGCGGAATTTCTCGCTACCGTACTACAAGTGCAACATAACGCCAGCTAGCTTGAAGCTGTGATACTAAATAACATAACGCCAGCTTGAAGCTGTGATACCAAATCACTTAACAACCCCCTGAACTACAATTTCAAATAATTTGTTACTCAAGTGAAGAGATTTTTTGTTCACAATACCACCGCCAGTTTCATGTCGTTTGTGAACGAATCAGATTTTCAGTTTTGTATATATGTTCTTACAGGTTACGATTGTATCTAATTGACATCATCAAACCTTTATTCTACTACTTGCTAAGACAGGAATATTACATTTACAGGTCTGACCTGCTCCGGCTCCATCTCCGGTCTGACTCGTCGTTTCTACTTCATTTTCCAATTTGCCAGCATTCGGTCAAAACACGAAATGGCTACATCTCAATCCTCTCGAACCGTATCAAGTCATGAAATACTAAATCTGAAACGATCACCGAGAAAAGAATTGGACCAAACGTCTGTATCTGATTCGTCATCAACTTCATTACCACTTGCCTCAGCTCCACGCACTGTTGAGATCATGTGGGGTGGCTACACGGCACCGGGCTTTACACTGAAACGTAAACGCACGGGTGCAATCTTTGTCACTACGGTGACACAGGAGACAGAGACGACGACAACTCTTAAACTTGGGAGTGAATTAAAGCTTGTCGGTGGGTTTCCCGTGAACCGTCTTACACTAAAAGACTTGAAACAAGTCATGCTCATGGCCCCCAAACCTGTTAGTCTTGTGTTTCTCAACACGGATGACGTAATCATTAAGAACGTGAACGAATTGTCCATTGAAAAGAAACTTTTAAAGTCAAAGGACGACAGATCAGTGACAACTCGACCCCCGTCTTGTCAAGACAATGGTGAGAAAAGTGACAGTACCAAGTCTTTCATCACGACATCGACAGTCTACAGTGAAACGTCTGAGACGAATCAATCCAAGAAACGAAAAATCTCCAAGTTGCAAGTCGCGCTTGTTCGTGTGAACCAGCTATTGAATCGTCCGGTTCGACAGGCAGGTCTTCACATTGCAGTTGGGAAGAGCATTGTTGTATAATGAATGTACCAATGGTAGATTCTCTTGTCCCAAGTTCTTGGAACTCATGTTTCCAATACTAAGGAACTTTCTGGCTAGAGATACAAGACAAGAAGAGCATCGCACGAGTCGTTTGGAAGCTCAAGCATCAGTTTTTTGTTACTACAAAGTGTTCGATGTATTTATGTTAGTACATTACGGTGTCAAAGTGTCGAAGCTACGAGAAACATACATCGTTTTTACTGTCCATGAACATGTACTAGATGACTTTTTGTCGCTAGAGCTTGCTTGAGTCTCTTGGGGAAGTGAACGTACGCGTCTGCAGTAATATGCAGCATATGTTTGAAGTCTTTCTTGTCAATACGACTCCTACCTGAACGATCAGCGTACTGGAAGCATCGATCCAAGTCGTTTCGGAATGAATGTAAGCACTTGTTGCTTTTTTGGAACGGCGTTAGCTCGGCCACGTCTTCAAGTGTCACTAGACCATCCTTGTCCCGATCAACCATGTGAAATACCTGGTCAACGCACGTGGTGAATACTTCACGATGCTGACTTTGAAGAAGTGGCCAATCTAGTTGAGCAGCACAAAACTCATTGCGAGATAGCAGACCATCACCGTCGAGGTCCAAGTTCCGTAGAAAACCTTTTGCTTCGTCTTTGGTGAGTCGATAGCCACCTGCTGCTACGTAAACTGCAAACTCCTCGAGACCGACGATTTCACTGGCATCACGAGATACTTCACTGTATAGCACAACCACGTCTTGCTTCAGTTCAAGAGGCAAAAGACAAGTTACTTCGTTCAGTACGGCACGCTGGAGGATGTTAAGAGATCGATAGAGTTGTAACCTTTGTACGAGCGTGCCGTCTAGTACAAAGCCTGTCATCCCCTTGATAGCTTCCTTTGCAGCAGCAAAAGCCGTAGTGGACGCCTCAACAGATAGTGGCGAAATCGAAGCAAGCCATGGATGCTTCAGTGCTTGCTCAGCTGTAACACGTTTAGTGACATTGCGTTCCAGCAATTTTTGCACTAGATCCTTGGCTTCGTCCGAGATATCGGTCCACGGTGGGCTCTTTAGATCGATCTCTTCGTGCATTATGCGCTCGTTCAGCAGTTCGTCAGCTTCGAATGGAAAGCGTCCACTCAGTAGCCGATATAAAATCACCCCACAGCTCCATAAATCCGACGGGAAAGCGTATTTGTGCTTAAGCACCTCTGGTGCTGTGTACAGCGGCGTGCCATGAACATTATTCAAGAATTCGCCCTCATCCAGGAATGCTGCTCCACCAAAATCAGTCAACTTGAGCGGACTGTCGTGCTTTGAATCTGCAAACAAAAAGTTCTCGAGCTTGACGTCTCGATGTAAAATGCGCAGCAAATGACACTGCCATATTACATGCAAGATATCTCGCATGTACGTCTTTGCCCGTTCCTCATGCGTGACATCAGCAGTCAGATCCATCTCCTTCACTTTGGACAGCCGTGTTGATGCGTCGCCACCAACACAACGCTCCATTACAAAATATACATTATCATCATCTTCATACGCCCCAAAGAAGTGCACGACATTGAGCGTTCCACCCAGTAGCATCATCATGCGTCCTTCTCTTTTTAACGCAGCATAGTCATGCCGGCTACTAATGCGACACTTTGGCACTGTTTTTACTGCAAAATCCAGCTCTAGCTTCCTCCCACCCATATCTTGAAACCTTGGTAGTGCACAATAGACCGTTCCAAAAGCTCCTTCTCCCAATTTGTCTCCAAGCTTGTACTTGGCAAGAAAATTCCTTGGTAAATTAAACTCTAGCTCTTTGGGTTTTGTAAACCAATTTGCAGCTTCTAAAGCTACTTGTTGCAGCTTTGGATATGAAACAAGCTTGTGGATATATCCTCTCCAGCTTTTACGGACGCTGCCATAGCTCAATCCATGTGGCTTTCGAAATGTCGAGACTTGGCTATTCTTGGTCACGAAAGCTACGGATCTCGGTATTGCCGTGATCTCTGCTGGTTCCTGACGTAACAGTTGATCGGGTTTTGCTATCAAGTGTCGGCAATTGCTCTGGAACGTGTTTAAACGCGCCTGAACAAGTGATTTAAGCTGGTAGAAGACGACGGGTAGAACCTTCATGTTTTTTCAAATTTTGTCGCTTCTAGAGCACAAAACAAGATGCTACAAACATGTACAGATGCGTAAGATCTAGATGAATCAAGTGGTCAAGAAAATAAAATTGTAGATGGATGATTAATGGTGTTACGTAGCAAGAAAGGTGACAGTTACGTAAAAAACGGTAGCAATTTGTGGCGATCGTCTGTCCTTCGAATTGTCATGTACCGCTAAAATGGTACATCCCGTTTTTTGTCCGACGTGACGGTCATCATATGGTAATACTTTGGACAGGTAAATAACGTCCTGTATTAACTTATTTCAAACCAAGAGGCTGGTAATCAAGAATGTTGATGGATGGAGAGCACTATACAATTTTTAGATTGAATGAATCTCAGTGGCCGTATCTGCTGCTTCGGTCACGGATAATGGTACATTGGTTCTTTGGTCTTGTGCTGCCGAGAATGTCTTGTCCTGCTGGAGACGCAGCACACTACCTGATAAGAGCCGACTGGAAGGCGAAAGGAGAAACAGAATCGAGTGCGACAATGTAGCCGTCTCATCAAAGGTCTCAACGTCGACAACTTTATCCACTTGTCGCGACGGAAGCAACACGCAATTCACTTGGACGTTACGCGGTTGAAGCTTGATCGCTAGTTCTTTAACTTGCGACTCGATGACGGTACTATCTGGTAAAGTCGCAACGTTCACGATAGTACCGTTGTTGGGTATTAACCAGTCCTTCTCTCCAGCGGCACGATCGGGAAAGCAGGTTGACGACATGGACTCACTTAAAGCTTCAATGAGGGCCCTACAATTGCATATCAACACAGATATACTCATCAGTAAATATGCAGATGTGTCTAATAAGATCGGGTTGTTCGTACGCGCCGGAAAGAATGGGCTCGCTTTTCATCAGATCTTCGTTAGCGTCTTCAGACGAGATCGATTCGACCAGTTTGGAGCCAGCGTAATTGATCAGAAAATCCACGCGCTGGTATTTCGAAGCAATGGAGCTGCACCACTCGCTAATATCTGTTTGTGTCCGAAAGTACCCCAGCACGGGAAGCATCACACCACGCGGGCTATCCTCGCTGTCCGACGGATTTGGGAAGCGGCCAATGTGTTTTGTATTAAAGTCGTCCAAGGCTGACATGTTGCTGTAAAATACATCATTAACCATCAAGTAAGGATACCCAGCAAAAGAGAAACTTACGCGAAAGTAAGCAGTACGTTTGCCCCCGACAGCCAGAGTTGTGTCGCGACAGTCGACATTGACGGGTTGTCTGCACCGGTAACGACCACCTAAAAAAGAAGAAGAAGAAAGAAGTCAACAACCGCATGAGTTATGTCGTTCGAGTACAGCAACCTTCATGCATACGCACCAATTTGTTATAAAATATCGTCTGCCACTGTGCAGATAAAACTGCATCTTGATATAGCACAGTAGAAGTTAAAGATCCCATACCATCACCACTAGCAGCATTTACACACGCAGCTCCATTTGCGCGTAATATTGCTAAATTCTCAGCAGAATACACCGACGCTGCTAACACCGACACATCCTTCTCCTTGACACAAGCTCCCATAAGTTTTGCCCGTTTTCGATGGTTCTCCATGTCTTCACGACTATTAACATAATCCCCACGAACACGTTTTGGATGCTCAGTATAATCTACTGCAGCTACGGTACCAAGACCAGTCAATTGACTATACAATCCATTATTAATTTCAGTGCGTGCATTACACCGTCCATCACGTAAGTTTTGTAAAAAAATCTGCACTGGCAAATCTCCTTCCGCTTCACGCTTGTGTTTTAGTAACCGCATGAATTCTGGATGTTTACTCATCAAATGATTTTCAATCCGTCCACGCCGACAATTTAAACGGCTCCAGACCTTTGTCATCTCACGTTTTGACGTTGGGTCGTCACACAACATGCACACAATAACGTCCATTTGCTTCTTAGCGGATGTCAATGAGACTGCAGCTTCCCTAGAGACTTCATTGGCTAAACAACTGGCTTTAAGTGCATGATTCTCCATCTCAGTCTCTGATATCGACCGCTCAATGATTGGCAACGAGTGTAGCCATCGCTTTTGAAAGGTAAAGATTCGTTTCCGCGAGCCAGAAGTGCGTAATGTTTTAGGTGATTGCTGTTGGATGGAAGCATCATTTAAGGCTGTAATTTCGTCAGTAGGTTCAGAAGACACTTGCACAAGAGATTCACGCATTGAGGGAGACACAAAAGATGCAGACGACGTGGAAGAGCACGTGATGTCAAGAGCTTTATCCGTCATTAACAGACTGGTACTAATGATGAATAATGTGGCTGGTACGCGGTACCATAGGGAAAAGGAGTGATGGTTGTTATAGGAGTGATGGTTATACAGGAGTGATGGTATACAGGAGTGATGGTAGCGGCTAGTTGCTGTGATATCGGATCGTAGTTATTGTTTTTGACATCGTATTCGTTTCTAGAGTTTCACACAATATTTAATCCTATACAATCATGAAAAACCAGACAATCATTTCTTGCAGGTTGAAGTCCGCACTCCCCCTCTTGACGTCTCGTGTCCGTTCAACTTCTTCTGCATCTTTCTCCAGCCCCGTCGCAGCTCTAGAGACCGCGTCACGCCCTGTACTGTATGATCACGTCGTCAGCTGTAAACTCACAGCACTTCAAGTCGACAACGGTCTCGCTCTGCACTTTTCCCGCGGTTCAACAGCAACAACCGATGGCGATCTCAAAACCCAATGAAAATTCGACCTTTTTGCCAGTCACAGCTCCTATTACAAGCTCAATTGCACCTAACCAAGTCTCTTCTTCTTCTTCTTCTTCTTCTTCTTCATTCTCCGCTGACACTTTAGCGAGCCCTACAACATCACCTCTCGACGGATACAGAACGCCTGTACAGAATCAGATGCGGACTCAGACTCAGACTCAGACTCAGAAGATGTCGAGTAAGAGGAAGAAACGGGAGATGGACGACAATGTGCCATCTGTTATACCTCGTACACCTTCTAAACGTAAAGCTAGTGGTGACTTTCTACGGAAAGGTCAATGGACATGTACAGAGGAGCGACTTACAAGGCTGTTAATTGAAGCTTTTGAAGAAGGAAGTCTACCTATTTACACTGGGATTCGACTTCGTGGGTACTTAGCTGTACAGCTACAGTGTGATCCCATGCGCGTTTCAAAGAAACTCTGTGCCGGGACAATTGATGGCAAACATGTGCCAAAAAATTATGGCCAAAAGAAGTTTAAACTTTGCAAAAAATCTTTTTGGGACTCGGACAAGGCGAAATCGCAAATTGCACAACTTGAGAGACTGACGAAAGCTTTGTGGAGTGAAGCACAGATGCGAAAACCTTCATTCCTTACACTTTCAAGTACTTGTAATATGAACAAACGACAGGGATCACCACCGATTTTTTCTGCGAGAAAGTGCTTGCCGTCGTCAACACCCAAAACCAAGAAGCAAAAGGAGTTTCCTATCATTTATTTAAACTTGTTTAAACTCAAACGTTATTCAGCCGGAGACGAGAGCAGTAGCAGTGAACCTGCATCGCCATCCAAGGACTCCAACTCGGAGAGTGAGCCTGTAAAACTTGACGGAGAATCGCTACAAGCGGCGTACGATCTGCTTACCTTGTGCAGTCCACGGGGTTCTGCTAGCAAAGGCACGAGCAAGAAGGGAAAGCTTAAGAATGGTGTCGCAAAGAAACGTGCCATGTCGAAGGATACGTTCAGGAAGGCAGAATCTAACGAGGACAAGCGCATAAAATTAACTCGAGCCCGGTAACCATTCGAAGGAGATGTTCCACAGCACGGTTAAATCAAGAAAGACAACAAATCTCTAAGGGAAAAATTGAATGAAGACAAGTCTCCGAAGAAAGTTGGTGGCAATCGGAGATATCGTCACTAGGAGCGACGAAATGTCCAGCGATGATACCTGAAGTTCAGAGAACGAAGTTTCTATCAAGAGCATATCTTCTTCTACGACGTTATCTGTGTAATATGCACCATCGAAGTCGTTGTCAATGTGCCATCGTATCGCTAACCTACTCAAGTGCGTTCAACGCTGGCAACAACTTCATGCTTTTCCTGTAAATAAAAAATCGTGGCGCTGTCGATTGTGTTCCCAAATATGCCACCGCTGCGTCTTTACTGCCGACGCATAACTAGTCGATGGTGGATCTACTATCTCGTGGAAGCCTGGATTTGAGTACACAAACAATATTTCTCTTGGATGCACTTGCAACATCATCGCCATAGGCAGAGTTATTATCGGTGATCTGCAGAGACAAGAGTGTTCCTTCTATTACAGCCCGGGACAATTGTGTGAGTGCGGCGTCAAACGAGTTCATTCACGACTCGATACCTCCTTTTGATGTGTCGGTCTCCTTTGTCGTCTCTTAACGATTGGATAAAGCGTCGGAATAAAAACAGTTTGGCAATGGCCGATGCAAGTCCTACACCGAGCGAGTAAGCAGAAGATGATGCCAAGGGGCTCATGCGATTAAACAGGCAAGACGAGAGCACAAGCTGTAATGGTTTTCCATGGCTTGAGCACTTGCAAGTGTTTTCACAATTACGAGTATGGCGATTAGCTGTGTTTTTTTCGCTGGACTCTCGTTGTGCTCGAACTACGCGATGTGCATGCTTGACATTCTGCAAAGTCAGCTAGCAACACACCATTAAGAAGACTGTTTTCGACCATTAGTCTACTCGGAGCTATTGTTGCAAACTTATACACGTAGCAATGCAGGCAATGACTGTCCAAGGTAATCAACCTTGAACAGTAATGTACCAACGATTGCTCATGAGAACGTGGTCCGGCGGCTGTGATACGAGAATGTATCACAACCTGAGATCAAGAAGCTGACACGATTGTTTGTTTTTTAATCAAAGTGCGCGAGAATTTCTTTGCGAAAAGGACATCCATGTATTGTACGACGTTGTGCATGTGACGCACCTGATAACGTAGCAAAACTCGATATTTGTACATGGTTATGCACTAATTGTCGAACTACGCGACTTATAATATGTTAAAGGTCTGACTAAATCTGTAAGTTATGACGTCGTGACAAGGATTCTTATTAAGGCAAGTCAAGGTTCTTTAGACTAGCGCTTCGTTCCTAAATAATTCAGGCAGAAAGTTGCTGAATTTTTGATTGTAGTTCATACTGTACGATTATGTACCTTCATCGTACAAGCTGGGCATCATTCGTTTTGGAAAGATTCAAAAATCTAGATAACTTTTAATTTTTTGGTAGGGGAATAAATCATTAATATCAATTAATATTTTGTAAGCGATTAGACTAGTATTATTTCTTAACAATCGATACTCTCGAGATAATATTAACTATATTGCCTACACAAAATTAATTTGTTTTTTTAATTACTTATGCACGATTTACTATTTTGGTTATTTTTTGGTTATTTTTTTGTACATACGCAAATTTTATTAGGAAGTACCCCTAATAATTACGTTATGAGAAGTCTTATATATATATGAAATTGGCTCAAACTATGTTGCCTTATATAAAGCAAGGATATACGTGAGTACGAAAAAGTAGCATGAACCATTCGAACAGCTCTCACTTTTGCACGTAAAGCATTGAAAAGGACAAATATATAATCTATAATTATTTATTACTTAAGATCTCCCGACATGGCACAACTGGTGTCACGCAGATCAGTTTGTTGGAGTGACATTACTGTGCCCAAAATAAAAGATCGTTTCCATCTTGGGCTAATGCAAAGTTTTGTAAGGAATGACTAATACGCTGCGAGTACACACGCTCGTCCTACAGACCACCAAGAGGCAATATGAGCTGGCGAGTCTCATCCACAGACTCAACGACGGTCATTATCTGGAAAAGCGTCTCCTTTAAGTGGTCGAAATGGGTAAAAAAACTTTATTTTGGGCTCTATTTTGATGTTGTTGTGATTCTTGGTGTATAAAAAAGCTTTAAATTTATAAGTCTTTGGAAACTTAAGCGAAATAAGACGTCAAATGGCATGTTGTGTAAAATAAACAGATTGAGAACCTTGTGGTCCATTTAGTCATAGGCAAAGAACTTAACTATCTATAGAAGGTTACAATTTATCGGATCATTATAATTTGCAACAAAAAAAACATAATAGGTAGACTCACGCGTTTATATTATAACAGAGGTTATTAATTATATAGGGATATCGTATTGCAAGGAATACTATACGGTCTTTCCTGCTTGACATCAGCTCAACTGGCTTCATTTGCTGGCTCGTGTATGTGATCATATTGGCCGTAAAAGGGTCCGTTGACACATTGAAAGAGCACGTCGCATCAGATCCAGTGGTTGTGTATCCCAAACCAAACAAAGGCGTGTCTATGCAAGCATACACCAGCTCATATGTTCTCAATAGCATACAAGTTTTCCATACTCGTAACCAGCTAGAAATATCGCAAATTCCCAGAAAGCATCTGGTGCTAATCATTATGGAAGCGTGTCAGTAGATTCGTGTGGCAGAGATGCCTTCCAAATTTGTCATTGGATAGTCTCCTCTGTGTTGCCCGTTAAGAGACGGAAGGATTGGGCTTATAATCATATGTAAAAGCCTATTAATAATCAATTTTCACAAGAAAATCCATTCCTATACTGTAACTTTGTGAATTAATCCAAACACATATTCGAAAACCAAATGAAGCTCACGACACAGTCTCTTAAATTGGGTCTTTTTACTACCGTGCCAGCTGCGATACGCGATGGCTTCGTAGTTGCTTTTTGATTGGTCAAAGTACAGACTAGCGTTTATTTCATTGGTCAAAAGTAGTTAAGGAGGTACCATGTGAAGATCTGCCCTACCCTCCCTATCCCTTTCCTCTTTCGCACGTTTTCGAGAGACTTCGGTTGAAAGTCGTCACAAACGGGAAACCCCTCAAAAGAGAAAGCTGACACACTCCCCCCCCCTGTCGCTTTAAGCCAATTGTTCATTACGTCTTTTGTCTCTCTTCGTTTGCCGAGCCGACCCCCTCCCTCCGAATAAGAACGGTCCCATTCGAGTAGTCCGTAAATTATTCCGACGATAATGGAGCGTGGTCCGTCACAAACTGGCGAGACAGACCGACGTCGACGCGCCAGTTCGAATTACTTTGAACTGGATGCCGATCGGCGTCGTAACAAGTCAGAGCGCTCGGAACGTTTCAGTAAGCGTCTTAACTCGATGGATATGACGGCTACAAGTATCAAGGGTATACCTCAAGATGATGAGGCAGCCATTGATTATTGTTGTGAATTTCTCAAGGCAAAATTTGGATTTCAGGAAGGGTCGGTCAGTAATCAACGTGAACACGTTCTTCTTCTATTGGCAAATGTCAAAGCACGCTGTCTCTCTACTGACACGAACGAACAACATCTGGTTCAATTGGCTGACAAACTTTTGACCAATTATCGTTCATGGTGCAAATTTATCCATACGAATCCTGTCACGTATACTGGCACTGGTATTCCAAATGCAACGCCTTTTGGCAATTTGTACATGGATATCATGTTGTACTTTCTGATCTGGGGTGAAGCAGCCAACATTCGCCATATGCCAGAATGTATCTGTTATCTGTTTCACCAGATGTTGCTTCTGGTGAATGCCGACCCCCAGGGTCGTGAACTGCAACACGAGGGGTGGTACTTGGATCAAGTGATTCGTCCAATCTGGCGTGAAGCCAGTAACATGAAACGTCGAAATGCCCTTGGGAAACCCTTGGAACATGTGAAAATACGGAATTATGACGACATTAACGAGTACTTTTGGAAACAACATTGTCTCAGTATTGCCGTGACGCACGTGGGACATGAATTAACCCAAAACCACGGCAAGACTTTTTATGAACATCGCAGTGTCTTGACATTGGTGCTCAATTATTACCGCATTTTTCAATTTAATATGATGTTTCTCGTCTTATTGACAGTATTGGCTTTTGCCGTTACAATTTCCCCCGATGGTGGCAAAAGGGGATGGGCACAATTTGGCCGCATTGGAGACGTGGTTGCCCCGTTTACGACCCGTGACTTGAAGTTGGCCGTGGTTGCCATTCCATTCAGTTTAAGTCTACTGGCTTTTCTTAAATGTCTCTTGGAAGTCTGTCATGGATGGCATTTACTTGTATCGAAAGAACGTTCCGTGAGTAGTTCCCGATCGTTCACGTACGGTGCTGCCCTAACCGCCCGGATCATATGGAATGGTGGATTTGCCCTTTTATTTGGTACAATGATGTACATTCCCTTTAATGAAGACAAGGACACAATATTATTGGATAATTTGTACCCATTATGTAGTGGCTACATTTTACCCGGTGCTATAATTTTAGTGCTACAAGCATTTGCACCTCGACTTCTTATGGGTTCATTTGCGGCCAAATTTGTCCGTGAAGGAGAAAGTTGTTATGTTGGACAAGAGATGACCCCGCCCTTGTCGTATCAGATCAAGTATATTGGATTTTGGATTTTTTTATGGATAATTCAAGCCATTACGTCGTATTTTATACTCGTGCGTCCCCTTTTGTTACCAACATTGAGTATCTACGCCATGACATTGGAGTATCAGAATTCACTGGTTTCGTTTCATAATATCGGGATTATCTTTGCTCTTTGGCTGCCCGTGGTGTTTATTTTCAATTACTCGACTCAGATTTTTTTCACAATTTTTCAAGCACTTCTTGGTGGATTTCAAGGCATTTTAATGAAAACGGGGGAAATTCGTGGAGCAAAGGAAATGACGAAAGCTTTTCGTGTTGCTCCGCAATTATTTGATCAAAAAGTCGTGACTTTATTGGCTCGTTCAAGTGATGCACCTACAAGTGGTAATAATGCGGCCCGTGCAAGTACACTTGCTGCAGCTTACGAATCCCAAATGATGTTGCGGTTTGTGGTGGTATGGAATGAAATTGTTAATTCGTTTCGTGAAGGGGATTTGCTGGATGATAAGGAAGCTGCTATTCTTCAATATGATATTCGCAGTACGGGTGAAGTCTTTGAGCCCGTGTTTTTATCAGCTGGTAAACTTGTGGAGGCTATGGGTTTGATAATCAAGACGGCCAAGGATGGAAAAAGCGAGTCTCAGCTTCGCGTGACACTTGTGGAGAATGACTGTCTTTCGGCTATTCGTTCGTTTTTTACAGCGAGTATGTACGTGACTAGTGCTCTTTTTGGCAACGATGACGCTGATGTGGTCGATGGGTTTCGAATCATTGAGGACATTGCGTCTAGCGGTGGCTTTCTCAAGTCATTTAACATTCTTGAACTAGCAAGTTTACGCAATGCTGCTGTTGACCTCTTGGAAGAGATTTTGGACTTGCCGGATCCGGACGCGCAGTCACAGCACATCCCGAATGTTCGTGTGCACCCATTAGGTGTGATTCGCAACTTTGTTTCCAAAATGGAGGCATTTTTGAATAGTGTACAGTCTTTCTGCTTGGACCCTGCCCTCCAGCGCAAGTTTGGCAACTCGAAATTCTGTTCTAGTGCCAATGGATACGTGTATGCGTCGCGCGGGCTCGTGAACATGTTTTGCAGTGACACGGCCATGGGCGCTGCCACGCGTGCCTGTCTGCTGCTATCTCTAGATCGTGCAGAGTCTATGCCGCGTACTACGGAGGCACAGCGTCGTCTTGGGTTTTTCATGAAGTCACTTGTTATGGATATTCCCCAATTGCGTTCCATTAAGGAAATGCGTAGCTTTTCTGTTGTGACTCCGTTCTACGCCGAGACAGTGTTATTCTCACTGCAGGACTTGAATGATCCGCTTGTGAACCACCCGATCTTTCAGCAGGCCGAGGAGGATGGCAAGAATTTGACGATTCTGAAGTATTTGACGAAGATTCACCAAGAGGAATGGGACAACTTTCTAGAGCGTGTGGATGTGAGCTCTGCTGAGGAAGCTCAGAGGAATCACCCCGAGGAAATTCGTCTGTGGGCTTCATACCGTGGTCAGACGTTGGCTCGTACGGTGCAAGGAATGATGATGTACGAAGATGCGATCAAGATCTTGCACTGGTTAGAAATTGGCTCGAGCCCTGGCAAATCGGCCGAGCAGAAGCAAAACCAGCTCCAGGATATGGTTCGTCTCAAATTCTCGTACGTTTGTGCTTGTCAGGTGTACGGAAAGCACCGCGCCGAAGGTAAAGCGCAGGCTGCTGATATTGACTACCTTCTTCGCGAGTACCCCAACTTGCGTGTAGCGTATGTGGACACGGTTGAACATGAGGGCGGGGAGAAGTCTTTTGACACTGTACTGATTAAGAGTGAAGGCAATGATGTGGTGGAAGTATACCGCTATTCGCTGCCGGGAGATCCAATTCTGGGTGAAGGAAAGCCTGAGAACCAGAACAATGCTACTCCGTTTACGCGCGGAGAGTTTGTGCAGACCATCGATATGAACCAGCAGCACTACTTTGAGGAGTGTTTGAAGATGCCGCAACTTTTGTGTACTGCTGACCTGCATCCATCGAAGAAGCCGGTCTCGATAATTGGTATGCGTGAACACATTTTTACGGGTAACGCCAGCTCGCTTGCGAAGTTCAAGACGTGGCAGGAATTGGTGTTCGTGACGCTGTCTCAACGGGTGCTTGCTGACCCTCTGTACGTTCGTATGCACTACGGTCACCCGGATGTGTTCGACAAGGTGTTGGCTATCACGCGCGGGGGTGTATCGAAGGCCAGTAAGGGCATCAATTTGTCAGAAGATGTGTTTGCTGGTTTCAACACGACGCTGCGTGGCGGTGTCGTGACTCACGTGGAGTTCATGCAGTGTGGTAAGGGTCGTGATGTGGCTTTGTCTCAGATCTCGATGTTTGAAGGTAAGCTGGCCAATGGTGCCGGCGAAACTTCGCTGTCTCGTGAGGCGCATCGCATGGGTCAGTTCATGGATTTCTTCCGTTTGAACTCGATGTACTACTCACACACTGGTTTCTATTACGCAACGTGGATGACAATTGCTACGACATTCGTGTACATGTACTGCAAGGTCTACATTGCTCTTTCGGGTGTGCAGGCACAGATTGTGTACAACATGAACTCTACGGACATCATTATGCAGAACTCGGGAAATTACGGCTTTGACGAACGTGTTTTCGATGACATGGATTCTGTATACAACACGCAGTATTACATCCAGGCTGGTTTGTTCCTGTCACTACCGCTAATTTGTGTGTACTTTGCTGAAATGGGTTTGCGCCGTGGCCTTGTGCAATTTTTAGAGATGGTCTTCACGGCTGGTCCCATGTTTTTCATCTTCCAGCTCGGCACGACTATGCACTTTTTCGATAACAATTTGCTCCACGGTGAAGCCCAGTACAAGGCCACGGGTCGTGGTTTCAAGATCACACGTGAAACGTTTGTACTGTTGTACAAGGCGTACGCTCTGAGTCATTACCGCAAGGCTATGGAACTTATTGGTCTATGTATGGTGTACTTGTCTTTTGGCACGTTTGACATTTGCGATACTTCAGTCGCTGGCCAAATGAACTCATTCGCATTCGACTATTGTGGCACGTCACAGAGCTTTGGCGTGCAAACGTTCGCTATTTGGGTTATCGCTGTGGTGTGGCTGATATCTCCGTACCTCTTTAACACCGATGGTCTGGACTGGGAGAAAACGAAGGCTGATGTGTCGGCGTGGACTAAGTGGATGTATGCCACTGAGGACTACCAGGATGAAGACACGGTGATGGTTGGTGGATGGATCGGCTGGTGGAAGGGTGAGTTGAAGTTGTACCACAATACTAAGCCGGCTGCTCGTGCTACGGTTATTTTGCGTGAATGCCGTCACTTTGTGCTCATGTGGTACGTGGTGGCACTCGAATGGCAAATTTTTACTGTGGGATTGGTGTTTGGCACTGCGGCCATCTCGGTTTTGGCGATGGGCCTATTTGGCGTCGCAGGCAGATGCTTACGCACCGCCAATTCGTCGCTTCGCGCAATCGTCTATGTGTTCGCAGTGGTAATTGTGCTTATCTTTTTTTTCGTCACCGCGACAGCCATCTTCAACGTCAGCTTCACTAGAACCATATCTCTATTCTTTGGCTACATGGCGGCTCTATATGGCATTAACGAAATGGCGCGCATGTACAGCTTTGCCAACTCGTCAATCGCGACCATGGGCATGTTTCAGCAGCTTGCTTTCTTCTTCGACTTTGTCTTTGCAGTGGCTATGATCATTCCGCTTTTGGTGATGTCAGCCGTTCCGTTCCTGAACATGGTCCAGACACGAATGATGTACAACAAGGGTTTTTCTGAAGTCGTTTCAGCCTCTTCCCAGTATGCGTTTTCGCTGGCTGCTTTCATGGGTGTGCTTGGCGGTATAGGCTGCGGCTGGTTATTTCACCTGTTTACAACGCTTGAGAGCACTGCCGGTTTCTTGAGCTACGTTACGACCTACGGCCTGCTTAACGGCAAAGTAGGGAACGGTTCAATGACGTATGCGTTCTATATCGCTTGCATGGGTGGCACATTTTTGGCGGGTTTCTCGAACTATTTTATCGGCCGTCGTTTATCTATCGTCTCTGGTGGCTTGCTGACGGTGCTAGGCATGCTTGGTGTTAGTGCTGTGCAGTCGAGTGGTGAGGGTTTTCTGATACCTGGCGTCTGCTCGCTTGGTGCTTCTCTTGGCATGCTTTTGCCCACGCTTGCTGTGTATATCTACGAGATATCGACTCGTGATATGCGTGGCAAGGCTCTTCTTTTACTTGGAAGTGGCTTCATTCTTGGCATCTTGTTCGCGTCTTGGTTCTCCTCCTCGTCGAATGAGGTTGGCTGGGTGTGGCAAGTGTTTATTGCGACTATAATTCTTTCAAGTATGACCCCGGCGGTTTACATCTTCCCCGAGAGTCCGTACTGGGTGTACATGCGCGAGGGGATAGATTCGTGTGAGCGATGCCTTGCTGTATTGCGTCGTAAGGAAGGTGTGTCGGAGGAGTTGCGAATGATCCGTGACGTCGAGTCTGGGAGTGACGACTCGAGTGCTAATGGCTGTTCGTCGTTTCTCAAGTTTTTGATGGGCCTGTTCCTGATGCTGGTATCCGGATTGTTCCTCGGCTGTGTGAACATGTACTTGTCTGATACGTTCCGCGGTTTTGATGATGCAGCTTCCATGTTCCTGAATTGCACGGCGCTTCAGTTCGTTGGTGCACTTTTTTCTTTCTTTTTCATGGACCGTATCGACCACAAGCGTATTCTGTTTTGCACGTTGCTACCAATAGCAGCACTGATCTGTGTACTGGGCGTGAACCACCAGTCGAACTTTGTGACGGGTGACAGCGAGTACCTGATGCTTCAGATTGTGTCTCTACTTTTGTACTTTTTCGCTGGATTGGGAATTACCTCGGTGCCATGGGTGTCGTGCATTGGTTTGTTTGCCACGAAGCAGCGTGCGGTGTACGTGACGGTCTATTTCATGATATTCTTCATGCTGCCGCTTTGCGCCACTTTTGTCCGGTCCAACGAGTCAATGGGAGAGCAGTTTTACCTGTTCGCATTGACTGGCTGCTGTGTTGTGTCACTGGGGCTTTTGTTCACTATGGGTACTCTCGAGAATGGCATGCTGTGCACCAAGGGCGAGATGGAAGCAGAGCGCAGCCGTCTGCGCCGCTTCCGGGCGTCTCGCCGCAGTGCTCGCACGCCAGGAAGTGCGCGTTCAAAAAACTTTAGCCGTTCACGTGCAAAGTCGCACTCGAATTATCAAATGTACGATTCGCCTGCTGGGAGTGCACCGTAGCTACTTCACGTCATCTTGGCTATGATGAGATACCGGATTGTATACTCTATCCGAGTAAGCAGGTGCCGACAAAGACGCTTTTGTTTTTCATTGCGTGTTGGTCTTACATTTACATGATATCGTTAATAAAGAAAAGAATTTTCGGAATACGTCATGAACAGAACAGTTAACATGTCACGCTTTACGAGAGGAAGAGCTGTAGGTGTCTAGAAGAGTTTCTTGGGAAGAATATGAACAATGCTTCACCACTTGTTTCAAACTCTTGAGCGTATTAGTTGCACAAACGTTATAGCTCTTCTTCCGGAATGCTAGCAAGCTACGACGCTGGGTAAAGAGAGCCTCACAAGCTGTTAAATTATAAACTTCTTGCATCTAGCAGCATGTGCGCTGACTGGAGCAGTCAAGTCGAAAACCGAGTACACGCGTCGCTGGGGCTCTCTAGCTTTCATTCGGTGACCTTGAGCTCTTTGCTAGCAATCTGTAACACCAATGTGTCCTCATGCAGCCCATACTAGATTTTCTAAGCCTGGTCCAGGAGATTAGTTTCAATCACATGCTGACGTCTTTTGCGCTTCATCGCTCACACGCAGCACCTTTCTCGGCTTCTCGGCAACGTCTGACTGCTTGCGTTTTTTCGGGTTCAGTCTGTTTTCCGTTTCTTGCATACCTCTCTCGTAGGCATGCCTTGAAATTCAATCGCTGTTGGATAGTTCTGTCCTTCGCAGTTCTTCGCGAACACGCACATGATCCGAGTCCGTGTCGATTGTGTCGTCTTCGTCCAGAGAATCCGGGATAATCTCGGGCGGTTGCCCGCAAAAGTGCACGCGCTTCGGCTCACCCTGGTGCTCATCGGTCGGGTCATCCATATACACACTAAGGTCCGCTGTGCTGCCACTTTGGTCCGACGACCCCGAAGCCTGAGAATTTCCAGACTGTCCGCGCGTCCGCTTCCTTACTGGCCCAATACCTGTAAGTCCCAGCAGCTGAACTTCATCAGCGCCTCCTTTTTGGTCACCTTCAGGAGCCACCAGCATCAACGACTCCTGTTCTGGAGCTTGAGGATGTACTTGACCCTGACATACCGGAGCCATTGGAAACATCGGCGGCATGCTGCGTCTCGTAGGTGAGAGTTCCAACCGGTGCGAAATCTGTGAATTAAGTAGCGTATTCTTCTGCAGTACCAGCTCTTCACGTGGAAGACCCACCCGACTGCTGATGAGTTCTGCAATTTGCTCACGAGAGTCAAACGACTACAAGAAAAACAAAAAAAAGTTTCATGAATTCCTCAATTCTTTCCATCCAACAAACAAAACAAACAAAATTCCATCACCAAAGTCTCACCTTGAACGTATATGAACGCGAAGATGCCCCAAATTTAAGCACAGCACCATGTACCACAAGCGTCGGCTGTAAAGCTGTCAGTCTTGATCCATCCACAAAAGTTCCATGTGCAGATCCAAGATCTACCAAATAGGTCGCGCCTTTTTCATGATGCACAATAGTTGCATGAAGTCTTGAGATTGAACAGTGACTCAAGACAATGTCACATACTGCAGCATTCCGTCCAAGAAGATAAAATGCCTTTTGATCGACCGTATGCTATCATTCATATTCAATGACAATAAAAAAACGATGAACAAAAAAACCCATCAATAACTTGCCAAGATCATTCCTCCCATATCCTCACACTATAAAAAACTTACCGTTGCAATCAGGACATGATCCTTATACACGTCCATTAATGAAATTGATCGAGGAGGTTGTTGCAAACACCTATAGAAACAAAAAAATACATATAAACCGCAAAAATACGTTCATTAAAATAAATAAATAACAAACATCACCAGAAAAATAGCGTCTCATTTCCCTATCTTTATAATAACGTACCATATTGGGGGAGGAAAAGGAACCGTAGGGGGTTCAATGAAATCAAGATATTTTGGTTGTACGAGAAAGGTATCAAGATGAAGTCTCGGCACTTGAAAAGCCTGTTCCATGCTTGTCTGTATATATATGTGATGGTAAAAATGGCAGTGACGTGTACGAGAAACCACTCAAACGTACAATGGAAGAAAAAACAACCAAAGAAGGCCAATGCAACGTCAGTCACGACAAGACGAAGGTGTGAATCCCCTTTTTATGTTTATTTTCTGTCAAGTCGCACGTAACAACTGGACGAGCGTCAGGGACAAAAAGAATGGCCTGAAACTTTAACGTCGAAGCGTTTAATTCACTCACTCACTCACTCACTCACTCGTACGACCGACTGACGACTGGACACTCGACTCTCTCTCTCTCTCTCTTTTTCTAACGACGATGGCTTGTCTCTTGTTAGGCAGCGAGCAAACGATGGGACGTCATTGGTCCGAATGCATCGAGCCAGTTAATAGTCATGCGGTATGATAGGAAGTTGGACGTTTTATTTTACAGGGGGATAGGGGAAGGACACGTATTGACCACTTAGAAGTGACTGATGTAGAAACATGTCGGACTATTGGTGGAAAAGACGTCTGGACGAGGAGCTCCGTTACGGATATGGACGAGTGAGTTGACAGTGTTGTGTCTTTTTGTTGTATGTCGCCTGACTGTTTCAATGCTTCTGGGAGTTGTCCTACTTCAAGGATGGATGTAGACTGTCAGCAAATGGATGAGGAAGTAAAGATGCGTATTGGCAAGCGCTTTGTGCAAAGCGGCGAGAAGGAAAAACTAAAGGAGCTTTTACGTTTAAAGCTGGTTGAGTGCGGCTGGTGCGATGCAATGAAGCAACAATGCAAAGGTCGAGTAGTCTAGTTGGTGGCATATTAGATATTGGTAGGGAACATTTTGAAAAACTCATCGGTAGTGAGGGAATTTGTTTATTACTTTGTGTAGTGGTGATCCGGAAGAAAGGCATTGATCACGTGACTGTGGAAGATCTAGTTGAAGAGATTACACTTGAAGGAAGAGGTAGAAAGGAGAGATTGTGGATGTAATTGAGCTGGATTCGATTCTGATGGTGGTTGTGTATGGACAGCATTGGTGCCTGGAGACGTAAAGAATGAAATACTGGAGAAGATAAAGACTTTTATCAAGAAAGAGGTCGAGGTCACGTCGGAGAAGACCGAGATTAGCAACTTAAGCTGAAGTATACAACACCATACACCAGATTTTTTTACAGACGCTTTTAGATGATGTCATAGTGTAAGTGACGTATTAAACTCAACGGAAATGTCCAGGTACTGAAAAGAACTTGCCTAAAGTGATGCTCTTGTGACTAGCGAAAACTATTCGTTACGATAAGTTATCCGTTAAGGCAGTGTAAATTTAGAGATGTTTAGAGCGTGTGAAGTCCTAGTTGGAGCCAGAATTAGTTAGCAGTTAAGAAAGGTTATTAGTTTGGACAGTATCCAGCGTTTGTTGTAGTCAATTTGATCGTATTGGACAGTGCGCTCAAAAACGCTGCAACCTATTAAATTTAATAGTATCGGATTGGTCAGAATGGCATCAAATGCTAACGACAACCTTTCTGACCAATCAGGTTTGATAAATGGGGGTGTGATGTCTGATACCCAATAAAAGGACTGAAATATCGTATTCTGTAAAGCACCATACCATCTCGATACCGATACAGTGTCGGTATCGATAACAGTATGTTCATATAATACGGCTACCACTTGTTTCTTCCCTCTACTGTACGTACAGTACAGTATGTCATATAAATGATGGTAGTGAGACTACGCTTGGCCCGTTGAGGACGTAAAGACGTGCCGTCTTACCGTATCGTAGTAGCAGATGCTCGTGCTCCACGCGATGGCAAAGACCTTGAAATTGTATGACTGCAGCGTAAAAATTCCCCAGTACATTTTATTCGCAAAAAAAAGGTTTCTAACGAGCGACGTTCTTTTAAGTATTTTTTTGTAGCTTGGCACGTTGAACCCCATTTGCTGCAAGTGATGGTATCAAGAAAATACGTGTGAGCAACCAACGTGTGCGGTATTGAATGTCAGTTGTGTTGTCATGACGACGCCTCAAGATGTACCCATATACTGGTAAGGTATCCGTATTTTTTTTGCGTTCACGTAAGACGTCACGGTATGACGTCATACATTAAGGTCATTGCTGAAGCTTCGGCAAAAGGTCCTAGATGGCTCGAAAAGGATAGGCTTAACGATATGTAATCATTTTACATTTTACGATCAGTTTTCAAGTACCTTTATCTACTTTAGGTTATGAGCCCAAGCCCCGCAGACTATGCTAAAGACCTAAACTACGTCTTCGCCATGGAAGCCACTCTCGCCATGCTCATCGGAATTCTCGACGAAAATAATTTCCACTCGTGGAAGTTCAAGATGTAAATGGTGCTCGAAGAGTGTGATCTGTGGGACGTCGTCAGTGGAGAGGCCAAGCTGGAGTACTGCGCTAACGCGTTGGACAAGGCAACCTTCAAGAAGAAGTTGCGCAAGGCGCTAGCAATCATCTGTATTGCGATGGAGAACTCGCAGCTACCGCTCGCTGGTCTGGTCGGCGAGTGGCGCGCATGATGCATGGTCGCGACTGGAGGGACACTTTGAGAAGAGGAGCCTCGCGAACAAGCTCTCTCTTCGTCGACAGTTCTTTACAACGATGATGGAGAAAGATGATGGTATGCTGGAACATATTAACAAAGTCAAGAATCTGGCGAAGAAGCGCGACGTGGTTGGTGCCTCGGTCAGCCGGGACGACTCGATGATCACGCTTCTATGAAGCTTGAGTGAGTCGTACCAGTTCCTCATCACGGCGTTGAAATCACGTTCCGACACACTGACGTGGAATCTAGTGACGTCTCAGCTGCTGCATGAGGACATGAATCGTAAGGAACAAGGTGGTGGCATCGACGGAGCTGCGTACGTCCAAGGTCAAGCGTTCATGACGAGTGGCAACATGAAGAGAAAGGGAAGGCAGGCATCGAAAGCTAATGCTTTTCATTATTGCAATGGGCATGCACATTGGATCGCCAAGTGTCCAATGAGGATTCAAGAGAACTCGCAGCGAAAGAGGACGCAGCGAGCGACAATCGAGCAGAGTGAAGACAATTCTGGCGACTATTTGTTCTCGGTCGGTGGTGACACGGATGTTGCCAAGTCAAGTGGAGTTTGGCTGGTTGACTCAGAAGCAACGCAGCACATCACAAATTTCAAAGAATGCATAGAGAGCTTTAAGATGGTGTGGTTCAAGATTTGGTAACCTTCGACATTGTCATGTCAATACAGAAAGCAGATGGTGTTAAGAAGGGTGTACTGACGAACGTGTGGTACATTCCCAACTTATCGAGGAACTTGTATTCGGTCGAAAGATTTATTAAGTACGTCGGTCCAGTGACCTTTGAGTGCGACGGATGCTTCGCGAATACAAAGGTCTCAAGTGGAAGCTCGATGCCCGAGAAGGGAAAGGTCTTTTAAAGCTGTGCATGACGCCGAATATGCCTGACGATGCCAATGCAGCAAGTTCAAAGAATCGCAAAGGGGACACCACTTCGTACCTCTGGCACCTTCAGCTTGGCCACATCGACTATGGAGGTCTAAGTGACATGGTCAAGAAGAACTACGGGACAGGCATCGACATCAAGTCAGTAAATCAGTGGTAGCTATGTGATGGATGTGCTCTTGGCAATCAAATGCGAGCCAACTTTGCTAAGTCCTCGCCAGGCTATTCCACGAAATTTTTAAAAGTGATTCACAGTGAAGTGTGCGATCTTATAAAGCCTTCGAAGTTAGGTGGAAAGCGCGGTTTCGTCACATTTATTGACGAAAAGTCGCGCTTTTGCGTGGTGTCCTCGATGCGAAGCAAGTCCTAGTAGCGACTAAGTTTGCGGAGTTTGTTGCACTCGTTGAAACCTAAACTGGTCAACGTATTAAACTTTACGCAGTGACAATGGTGGCGAGTACACTTCTGGAGCAATGACCAAGTTTGCAAGGATTCCCGAAATGAGCAGAAATTCTCATCCCCGAACACGCCTCAGCTGAATGGAGTGGCAGAACGAATGAACCGTACGCTGGTGGAATGTGCTCGCTGTATACTGGAGCACGCCGGATTGTCTAAATCGTATTGGTCGAAGAAGTGATGACGACCACGTTTCTTCGAAGCCGTTGTACGACACGCGCCAACAGGCAAGACAAATCCCCGTACTAAGTTTGGAAAGGCAAGACACCATTGTTGTAAAATCTCAAGGTGTTCGGATGCCACGCGTACGTGCATGTGCCAAAGGAAAACGGTCCAGATTCGACTTAAAATCGGTGCGGATTCGAATTATAAGAAAGCATATTGGTTTAAAGATCTGGACAGCAGTTTTTGTTGATTAGCCGTGACGATCAGCTCATACAAAACGTCGTAATTGGTGAAAGACGTGAATACACACCACAAGAAGTATTAGTGAATCTTCAACATGAAGAGAAAGATGCCACGGATGCAGATTTTTCGTCCATCTCAAGCGAAAACGAAGACGAAGCTGCGCGGGAATAAGATTTAGCACCAGGCAGCAAGCGACACCCGCGGACGCAGCCACTGGAAAACGCTAGCGAAACACCGAGCATCAAGCTCTACGCGTCGTAAAGTGTTCCTCAGACACTTACAGAGATGTCTGAGAGAAGCGACAGGTATGATAGTGCCTACGTCGTGGATTCAGTGGGAGATATTCCGACTACCTTTTAGTCAGCAATGGAATTTAACGACGCAGTTAAGTTAAAGGAGGCGTGCGACGCGGAGGGGCATCTCTTCACAAGAACAGGACATGGGTTCACGCTCCACTACCAAAGGGACGCAAGGCAATTGGCAACAGGTGATTATCTCGCATTAAAGAAAACCAATACGGGGAGAGTGAGCGGTTCAAGGCGCGACTTGGGGCCAAGGAATTTTCACAGAAGCACGGCATTGACTGTGAGGGGACCTTTGCGCCGGTGGCCACGTCCATCAGGATTTTGATCAGTTTGGCTGCAAAGTAAAAATTTACAGTGCATCAGATGGACGTGAAGATAGCATTCCTGCGCGGTCTTTTAGACGAAGACATTTATATGCGCAACCTGATGACTTTATCGAGCAAGGCCACCCAGACTTCGTGTGCAAGCTCAAGCGTTCACTGTACGGAATGAAATAGTCACCGCGCATTTAAAACAAAAACATCGATGAGCCCATGCTTAGAATGAGTTCAAGAAGTGTGAGTCAGACCACTGCATCTACTTTAAGCGAGATGGCCAAGACATGATTTCTGTGGCGCTCTACGTTGATGATATGGTTCTCGTCAGCAGCAGCAACAACATCCTCTAATATACAAAGCAGGCCCTACGTGATCGATTTAAATTGACTGACATTGGCCAATTAAAGTTCTTTCTGGAGATGGAGATCGATCATGATACGGCGACGGGAAAGGTGTCTATTCGACAGACCAAGTCTGTTAGAGACATTCTGAGTAAACTCAGCATGGACAACAGTAAAACCGTTAAGACGCCGCAAGATCCAGGGCTCAAGGTAACCAAGGCCATTTGCGAAGGAGGCTACAAGCATGAAGAAACAATGTTGAACGTTCCCGATCGGAATGCAGTGGGATGCCTCATGTACTTGATGGTCGGCATCTCGCAGCTGCAGTGGGAGTGCTGAGCCAGTTTGCAGCAGAAACGTGCCCAACTCTCTGGCAAGCACTCAAAAGTGTCTTTAGGTACATTCAAGGAACGAAGACATATGGCATCGAGCTCCAAGCGAACAATAAGAACGGGCTCCAAGATTCTCGGATGCGGATTTGGCCGGTGACATCGAGTCACGACGAAGTACAAGTGGCCACGCGCTCATGATGAATGGCGGATGCATCAACTGGAGGAGAAAAAAGAAACTTACGGTGGCGCTATCATCTACAGAAGCAGAGTACATGGCGCTGTCGGAAGCAACGCAAGAAGCGGTTTGGCTTAAGGTTTTTACCAGTGGGATTGGTGAAATAGCGAAAGAGGAAGCATTCAAGATCTACAAGGGCAACCTAGGTGCCATTGCGCTCGTCAAGAATCCGGAGTTCCACAAGCGCAACAAGCACATCGACATACGCTACCACTTCGTGCGTGAGAAGATTGAAGATGCTCAAGTTGTGCTGGAGTATTGACAGACACAAGACATGCTAGCTGACA